GACGACGACCATCGTGACGAGCAGAGTCGTCGTCGCTAAATGTGACCTTCTCGACTTTGTTTGTAGTAGTAATCATCGTGATTTCGTCGTGGCGTTTTGATCGGTCTTTTGTGTTTGTGAATTTTTGTGATTCTTTTAGGTTGCTATTTTGTTTCGGGTTCTCTTTGTGGGGAACTGGGGAAGGGTCACGTGTGTGAATTTGCTGAGTGTACGTGGTGGCATGTATTTATGTTTGATAAAATTCATACGATTGTCGAAGTCTATGATCATAATTAAACTAAGCGACATTTCTAGCTTTATTTTCAAGCGTTTTACTTTAATTAAGTTTATGAATGGTTCTATTACTAAGTGCTTTATAAATGTTTTGACAAGTCAAATAAATGAAGAAACAAGTGTAACTGGAAATTTTGATGATAAACTTTGTGGCTTGTGGATGAGTTGTTTATACACTTAGTACATAGTGACGAAGTCAGGCATTTGAATATTTGAATCATGGTTATTTGGCAGGGGCTAGAGCCTTACCAACCAGTCTATTTTCCAATCTTGTTATAAATTTTACATATAGATTTAACTACATTTGAAAGTTGAAGGATGATATAGCCCCTTCTGGATACAATGTGGCTCCGCCATTGATAGTACGCAATTGTCACAACTCACAAGAGATCGAGTTAATAGAGGGAATGGATCCAGTGGGTAACCTGCTTCGTGGTTGATCATGCATAATTTTCTCCCAATTTAATATAACGGGCTATCTCTTTCGTTTCAGGTTGAAATTCAAAAAAAAAAAATCACAAAAAATCATATTAATCATGCTTTTCAAGATGACGTCGACTTTGATATATTTTGCAAAAAAAAAAAAAGATTATACCATGGTGGTATAAATATGTTATAGTGTAGAATAGTTGTATACATAATATTAATAATATCAATATACTAACCATAATTTATTACTATCTACCACTAGCTACCAGTTACCACCCAATACCAAGGTGGCGTATTTAATTTGGAATTTGTTTTCTAGTAATTTGTATATTAAAATAAATCATGATAACCTGTTGCTTATGTTCCAAAATTTTCAAAATCTTAGTTTAAAATGAAGAGGGTACAAAGTGGTACCAGGTTGACAATGTGTGGTAGGGCAGTACAAAACATTTCACAATTTATTATCGAAAATGGATCTATTTTTTACATCACAATAAATACGTTCAATCTATACACAAAATTTTAATCTGAGTTAAAATAAAGAAGATACATCATACAAGCAAATTAATAAAGATTGAAAAAAGTAAAATAATTTTAATCTCACCCCATAGATTAGTCTGCACTCAAAATAAAAAAAAAATGTGGTATAATTATGATTAAATGTATATGTAAGAGTTATGCGCCTTATCCTATACCGTTAATACTTAATAGATTACTCCTTCCCCTCTTGGTGAGTGACGATGGCATGACTTCGTGTACACATCATGCAATCATAAGGTTCTAATGATAAGCTATGAGCTGACAAAGTTTGTTTGTTTCTTCTGCTAAATTCAAAGAAAATTATATTTTACATTATATATTGTGACTACATCTAGATTAGTTTTCTTATTATCACTTGGTACAAACTATTGGCCGCTTGTCGTACTCCTTTGACGTCTGTATCAGCTTAATTAACCAGTCAATTAAGAACTCATTATATGCATTGATTAATATAAATACCCTTCCATTAAAAAATAAGTGTGTCCTCCATACGCAACATCGACCCTTATCTACTTATTTATCTGCTTCATCAAGGGAAAGTCTCAATTCCTATTGTCTTTTAACTGTGATTAGTGCGTATACTTTGTAGACGTTTCTAAATGGATCTATGATCTTTCTTTCTATAACAAGAAATTTGAAAGTAAACTAGTTAATCGTTAATTTTTTTTGTTAGAAGCATGTGAAAACGTAGCTTTTACATCCTAATTATAACGATCAAATTAATGGATTCAACTAGTAAAAAAATTATATATTATAATAAAGTTGTTTCGTAGGGAAGCTTTTTACCCAAATAAAGCGTAAGTAGACACAAAGTGTTAAATTCAACAGTGGAAAAATATTTTAGTCAAAATTCCTCTCGGTAAAACTTTACCACAGTAAGGGTAATTTGGTTCTTAGAATTGTTTTAATTTTTTTATTTTTTGGATTTCATTAATTTTTTTATTTATATGCACACACAACATATTTATTGCTTGTTTGATGTGACATAAATAATTATTTAAACTAAATTATTGTACAATCTCAACTAAAAATTGTGATTCTCGGGGTTGTACAGTAGAAATTTTAGCATTTCCCCCCAAATTTAACCTTTAAAAGTATATATCTCTATGTTTGGTCCGGCTTTTAGAAGTGCTTTTCGGCTTCAAAAGCTGAAGCAGAGCCAAACACCTGTAAAAACTCGGCTTTTGAAAAGCCGAAAAGCGCTTTTGTATAACATAAAAGTAGAAGCTCCGATTTGGAGCTTCTGCGAAAAGCTGTTTTGAAAATACAAGATTATCCTTACCATATTTTAATTTTATTTAAAAAAATATAATTTTTGTTCATTTATATCATTTTAAAAATAAAATAAATTATACAATCATATTATTTAATATAAAAGAAATCTAACAAGATCCATTTTGACTACTTTTTATTGTTTAGAATTTTTATTCATATTTTATATTATAAGTCCTATATAGTCATTTTACACAACCTCTCATATTAAAAAGCACTTCTAATAGTTTTACAGCCAAACACTCAACAGCTTTTTTTGAAAAGTACTTATCTAAAAGCTCTAGCCAGCAGCTACTTCTGCAAAAGCTACCGCAGGACCAAACTAAGCTTATGTATTGAAAAATGGGGTAAAAGTTACATTATTCATTAAAATTATCTTTCCTTTTTAATTATTGAAATTACAATTACACATAGTAAATGTATAATTTCCAATACAACAAATTTATTAATAATATATTAATCACAATACATCAATTTAAAAATCGAAGAAACCAAATAACACTTAGAGTATTAAAATTTAGTTATAAACTAAAAATTACATATGCATTTTGAACCTATACAGGAGTCACCTTGCGGCTGGGAGGGCCATAAGCTCAACTCCCAAATTTAGTTATAAACTAAAAATTACATGTAAATTTGATAATGAATATGCTTCATAGAACGTTTTATGGGACAATCCAATTACCACATCGAAAATCCAAGTGTCCACCAAGCTCATTTGTACGAGGCCTTTTGGGGAGGACACCCAAGAGTAAAACCGTGCGGGCTTGGCCCAAAGCGGACAATATCGTACTAATGAGCAGCCCGGTTATGACAAGTGATATCAGAGCCTGGTTCTGATCCAGGGTGGTGGACGTCAGTGTAGTGGACCCTCGTTCGGTGACCACGAGATGTGAGATCTGCATCTGTTTGGTGGATCCAGGAGAGATCCACGTTTTGGCTTGGCGGATCAAAGAGAGTTCCGCATTTGGGAAGCAGAGTAAAGAGAGTTATGCGTCTGGTAAAGTCCTTGTACCGAGAAGCCCATCGATACAAGGCGTCTAGCGGATTAAGATAATCGTTGAGGTGATGACACGAAGTTCATGGTCCTTGGCTTGAGGGGAGGATTGTTATGGGACAATCCAAGTACCACATCGAAAATACAAGGGAAGAAACCCTTGTATATAAGTGTCCACCTAGCTCATTAGTACGAGACTTTTTAGGGAGGACACCCAAAAGTAAAATCGTGAGGGCTTGGCCCAAAACAAATAATATCGTACTAATGAGCAGCCTGATTATCACAGAACCGTACTTGTTTGTAAAGCTTTGATCCCCTCATCTCAACTATTATATTTCAAAATTTTATGGGATAATTTTTTTCACCCTCTTCAATCTTCACTCGAATTTATGACTCCAACACTGTTTTCAACCAGCGAACAGTAGAAAGACCTCAATGATAGAAATCACGAGAAGCATCTTATGCAATAATGAGCTAAACTGTTTAATTTATTATGTAATGTATTTGGCTCATCATTTTTTAAATATATATACGACGATGGAGAATGAAGAATCAAGAGGGGAGCTGAGTTGCTAAAAAGGATAAGCAACATAGAGACGAAATCATTTCTAAGTTGATATGGACGTGTAATCGAATCATGTAATGACTTTTAATAATGATCCATTTGCTCTTTGTCTCTGTATTAAACATAGTCAGAATCTCTTTTGAGTTTTTGTTTGATTAATTATTTATTAGCACCAACTTGTCACAAAAATTGCAATAACTTTGTGATGCTATTGGTAGATCAACCATCTAACCGTATCTATACCAAAGTAGTGATTGAACTTTCTCTCATCCAATCACTTCTAAGTTTATAATTAGAGAAGCTTAACTCTGTATTCTTAGCCTTATTCAGTAAGTCGATTATATCGTACGAATTTTATTTATGTTGCTGTCAGTTTTTCATCTTGTAGATACTCTCTTTTGAGTGAATATTTTATTTACTCTATATATTATCGAGAGCGCAATTTTCTGTTGGTGACCAATTGTTGGAGGTTAAACCGATGTCTTCACTTGATGGCTCTCTAACAAGTTAGAGCAACTCAAGTTGATGTCAATTTGTGGCTGTTGTGCTCCAACTTCTCAAGCAGACGAACTTTTCGTCGGTGTGCAGATAAGAAATTATTGATACATTCAGTCATCCTAATTGTTTATTTGTGACACTGTTAAAATCTTCGAAAAATCCATAATAATGAGCATATATATCGTGTTTAGAACACAATTGATAATCACAGTCAAAAAATTTCCTCATAAACACACCACTTGTCTATATATCATACATATAGCCCTTAGCAATTTTTCTCGTCTTTCATAATCACAATTAAGAGATAGAATCAAACAAATTAATTATTCAAAAGAAAAAAAAACCAAAGGTACGGTTCCTTTTCAATATTACCACTTGCCGTGCAATCTATTCCAACCCTTTCCAATAAATTCACATCACTCCTTACTCATACACACACTAAGCAGAGAGCTACACACTAAATATCTCCCCCTCACTCTCATCATCAGCTTAATTACTTAGTCTAACTAATTAAGCTTGATTAATAATATCTAATTAATACCATGGCCGATGTGAAACCACCGGCGGCAGAGCCAGAGACCAAGGCGGCGGCAGCCGCGGAAGAAGCCCCGCCGGCGCCACCTTCGGTCGAGGCCAGCAAGTTGACGGAGGAAGAGGCGGCAGCTCCTCCTCCGACTGCTTCGGCGGGTGTGGGGGTACTGTTTGTTTCTTTCAAGGCTGACGTGGCACTGAGGGCGGTGCTTTTGGCCGCTACGGTGACGGCGGTGGTGGTGATGGCCACCGCCGAGCAGACGGAGATGGGCCGCAAAGCAAAATTCGATCACTCCCCTGCCTTCATGTGAGTTGGTAACTTGATGCCTTTTTGTTTTTTCATTTTCTTTTGACAAGATATTTGATTAGCTTAATTCCACATAGAGGAGCTTAATCAAGATATTTCTTAATTAAGAATCATATACTCGGAGAGAGATTATTTATTTATTGAACTTGACCTCCAAAATTCACCGGTTTATATTTGATTTGAGGAATTGAATTAATGATAAAAAAATCTGATAGTAGTAGGATTAACTTGATTACTAATTGTAGTTAATCATGGGTTTTGGATTTCTAACTCTTGGCAATCTATAATTAAAAAAACATAGCTATTTCGATGATAAAAAAAAAAGAGAATATTCAAACAAGGACTACTACAATATCAGTTTGATATTAATATCAATAAATAACTATTACATGACTTGTAAAACAAAATTATTGTTGAATTTGTGGGTTCAAAATATTTGCAAAACAAGAGAATCTAACTTTAGGGTCATTTGACAATAAAGAAGGGACTAACTCATGGTTAGTGATTGTATCTTAGGAAGCTAGGCATAATTGGTTTGACAAATTCATGGGTATATTCAACGATTAAGTCGAAACTTCACGATCGTCAATATAACGTATCTCACATATACAAATGTAAATTATGTATATTTTACTACGATTGAATTTAATTACGTTAAATTAACCGGGTTTAAAAAGTAAAAGCACAATATACATGAGATGAGCTTGATATTATTTTTCATTTTGTGTGCTGGAACAGATACTTCATTTCAGCACTGTGTGTAGCAGCCACATACACCATCATCACCCTCCTAGCATCCGTGGGAGTGATCCTCAAGCCACAATACGAAAACAAGTTCCTGCTCCACTTCATCTTCCTCGACGTGGTCAGTAACCAACTAATTTACTACTTACTCTGTCATTTGCTTTCATCCCAAACCCATTAACTCCCCTCTCCTCTGCAGCTGGCGCTAGGACTAGTTTCCACGGCCACCGCGGCGGCCGGCGGCGTGGCCTACGTCGGCCTGAAGGGCAACAAGCACGCCGGGTGGATGAAGGTGTGCAGCGTCTACGACAAGTACTGCAAGCACTTGGGAAGCTCCATTGCCATCTCCCTCTTCGCCTCTGTTCTGCTCGTCCTCCTGGTTTTCCTCTCTGTCCTGTCCCTCCACCGCAAGATCCCACCACCAGCAACCACAGCTGCCTAGCTGAGATTGAAGCCGTTGGTGTGTGTGTGTGTTGCTTATGTTGTTGTTGTGAGTTGTGATTCTTTTGAACTGAATTTGGTTTCTCATTTGGAGAATGTTGGCGTCTGTGTATATATGTGGTTGGAGTTGTAATGGAGACTCTCTCTCTCTCTCTCTCTCTCCCTATCCCTGTCCCATTTCTTCTTCTTGTGTATAATATGCACATCCAATTGCAGTGAAAAAAGATGAGTCCTTCTTGAACCCTATGTTTAGGATTCCAACTCAAAGTTCCAAGCTTTTGCATTGTTCATATACGACATGTATCATAACAACACACATTCAAGCTTATCAATGGCTGCCCAATTTTAAAATAAGCTCCCTCTCTCTCTGTACCCGAAAAAAATGTAACAGAGACCTCAGAATATAGATTGTTCACCCAATTCCTGACCAGCCATGCCTTCCTTCAACACCCTCTCGAAGAACTCCTCCAATGTATCCTTCCCATAGCTAGGAGTCTTCTCAGCACTGTACTCCCCACTCTCAGCATCCAAGACCAGCATGCTCTCAGCAGCATAGTACCTCCCAATCTTCCCAAACTCGGCCGCGTCCTCCATCCCTGGGAAGATCTTCACAAGGGAATCCAGCACGCTAATGGCGAAATCCATGATCCCAATAGGCACTTTCAAGAACTTGGGCTCTTTCCCTACCAGTTTATGCAGCATCTCCCCTTGCTCCAATGGCGTCAATGCCTTCCCCGGCCCACCAATGGGGAGAACCCTGTTCATCTTGTCTTCGTCCAGCACACAATCCGCCATGAACGATGCCAGATCCTGTTCGCTGATCGGCTTACAAGCACAGAGCTTCCCATCTCCAAACATGACATACGGCTTCCCTTGTTTCACTAACTCAACTTGCCCTGCTAAGCTCTTGAAGAAAGCAGTCGGCCTCACGATGCTGTAGCTAAACCCCCCATTGTCATCGCTTTCGGCTTCCTGCATCAACTCCTCCTCGAATTTCAGCTTCGCGCGCTGGAACTCGAGGAGCGGTTTCTGAACACAGATTGCAGAGAGCAGGACAAAATGCTTGGCGCCCTTCTTTTTACCTGCCAGAAGACTGTTTTTGGTTGCTTCGTAATCAATCCTCCATGAATCCTTAACCCCTCCCGATCGACTTGCGAGGCACGAAACGACGACATCGATTGGAACCCCTAATTCATCAAGCGATTTCTCCAGAGTTTCCAATTCGGTCACGCTGGAGAAACACACACTGGCTCCTTGCAATTCTTCTAGGGTTTGGTCCTTGCTCTTCTGGCCACGAATTCCGCTCTTCTCCCTAGCCACTGCTATGACGTTGAACCCTCGATTCACCAGCTCTTTCGCAACGAATTTGCCTATGTAGCCCGTGGAACCCACTACCAGGACGTTGATTTCCCTAGGGTTCTTGGTCCTAAACGTAGATGTAGAAACTTGGACTTGTTGATTATTATCATCAGTAGCGATTGAAGCTGTAATCGTACCACGCTTGAGTAGCTTTCTGCTTAAGGATTGAGCGGGAGTAGAAGGCGAAGTAAGGTAATGTACCTGGAGAGTTCCATTGTTGAGGTGGGTTGGCACAATTGGAGCTCTGTATGACTTGCAGGGATGGAGATTGAACACAGTCGAAGAGAAAGAAAGCGCCATTTTTTTCTTTCTTTCTCTGCTTCCCGCTTTTCACTTGCTTGGGTTCTGAAGGTTTGGTCTATAGAGAGAGAGTGTAGAATATGGAGCGGGGAGAGAAATTTGAGGCTGGAAATGAAGGTGTGGGAAGAAGTGGCTTCCATGGCGGACCATCAGACTGAAATCTGGAGAGGATTATCGGTCAGGATTTTTTTTTTCTTCATATTTTTTTGTATTTTCTCATTCGGCTGCAATAGACATAGCCCATGGGCTATGGATATATACGGGCCCAAACTGGTGGGCCGGGCCTGGACAATAAATGTACTGAAAAGCCGGGACCGATGCTGACCCGCGGGTGTCACGGGTAAGCTAAGGGGACCATTTGCAGTGACGTGTATCTCTGGAAACGCGCCACGTTGGTTTCTGTGCAATCAATGAGGACAGTTTTACACAACTGACAACACCTCGTCTAAATCGCCAACACAACTGTTTTTGGGAACAAAAAAGCATCGCACCATTTTTTCACAGTAAAAAAGCTCCTGAATCACTCGGCCGGAAAAAAAACAGTTTCCCGGCGATGAACGAATCGGCGTCGATCTTGGAGAGCGGCCTACCGTTCGATATCTGTCTCAAAATCGCTTCCTATCTTCCGGTAATGATTTCTCCATCCCTCTTGCTTCTTGTTCCCCCGTAAGATTCACTTTTACGCCATCTTGAGAGATTTTTTTGGTTTCCGGTGGCGAAAGGTTTTGGACGTCTGCGTTCTAAGCAGGTGCTCTCGCTACTGGAGGGAACTGTGCAGCTCAGATTCCATCTGGGAATCGCTCGCCCGCCGTAGATGGCCCGCCGCCGCTTTCCCCCGAGATTCCTCTGCTTCTTTGGTAACCGATTGATTGATTGATGGATTCTTCTTGTTTTCCCCGTTCAATTTTTTTTTCTTTTGCCGGCCTCCCAAATCTGGGTTTCCATTTGCAGAGATGGAGGGAGGTTTACGCTGGGAAGCACAGGGAGATGGCGATCAGAGCTGGCGCGGTGGTCGGATTCGTGAATCAATGCTGTGGGGTTGAATCGATGGAAGTTGGGGATTACGTGCAAGCGATTGGGGAACTGAGTTCGTTGGAGTTTTCCTATGCAGACGTTCGAATGTTCCTCTTCAAGCCGCACCTGTCTGTGCTTCTGAACTTGGTTGCGCTGCATTACTCCATCGCCTGCCTCCAAACCCCGGTAAGCCGCTCTATGAATTGGTTTCTTAGATTGACATTCGTCGTAGATCGACACAAAAATGGTGTTTGTTTGGGTTGAATTGCAGCTTATAGAGCGTGATTTGAATGCATGATTTTGGGTAAGCTTTTACTGTTTCATTACAGGCATGGGAAGTTGTGGCAGCACTAAAGAGCTGCTGGATTTCGGAGAGGCAAGTGTGTGTGAAATGGTGGAAGCTAGGAAGATGGTTCTATGGGTTCAGGATGAGGGACGAGTCTCATTCTCGCCACCTCACTCTAGCAGAGCTCGCGACCGAGAAGGGTATCGAGGTTCTGGGGGTCCTTCGCAGGGGCGCCATCCACGAGGTTCTGCGCGTCGTGATCTGCGTCTCCGATGGTTCTTCTTCCAGTCCGTGGCCTCGTTCAAACGCACAGAACGAGTGAGAATGCAAGAATTGCATTGCTGCTGCTGCTGCTGCTGCCTTGGTGGCTCGGTCTTCTGCTCTTTACATTTTGGAGCTCGATTCATACTTTACCGTGTTGTACTTTACAGTTCCAAACTCTTTACGTGTACATGGCAACAGACAGCTAAAGATGGTGTGTGCTTTCCAAAAAATCTGTGTTTGTTTCCTGCCATTCCTCCATTTCCAATTTCCATCCGTAAAAAGCACATTTCACAACCACTGCTTATTCTCTTCAATGGCACCATAGCTTCTCCCTATTCAGATTCACTTCACAGCTCGAAATTGTATGTTGCTGCTCAATGAGATTGACTCATTCTGATGAAGCCACTCCAAGAAAGTGAGCTAAGCTGGGATACTTAGGTTTCCATGAAAGCACCTGCCGAGTTTTCGAGTTGTTTAGTTTCTTACCAAGAGGATCACTTGTTCCTGCATATCATTAACATGGTATAACCTCAAGTGGAATCAGTAATTAGGGAGGGTATCCTTTCAACAGAGGAAAAGGAGGGCTGCAATGCATACCAGAAAAGCCCTCAAATTTCTTGCTGAACTTGCCACTTTTAGCAACCAGGTCCATCACTTCCTGCCTGCATGAATTGGAAAGAGAAAGAAGTGAAAACATGCTCCCCCTTACCTTGCAAGACACCCTTTTCTTCCAAACGTGCAGAGCGAGTCTCAGCCGTTGGTTTCCTCATCCGATCGCTGAGACAGGCAGACGTTTTCGTCTGCACATTTTGAAAGAAAAGGGTATTCTGTGCCATAACTTTATTGGTGAAAACGATCGACAAGCCATATAGTGTACCTAGACAGTGGATGGTTGTCGCAGCCTAAGAAGATCTGGCCACGGACTTTGTTTTTCAGGATTGTTGTGCATAGAGATGCAGCATCCTGTCAAGTGTCAAGAAAAAGAACCCATCAAGCTTGCTGTTCCATGAAAGGCTCTATATTCTACACAAAAATGGGTAATCATCCTTAGACAAATGCAATGAGTTTGTTTTCACCTCGTAGTGAATGAGATTAAGGATGTGATCCGGCCGAATCTCGACAGTTCCTTTCTCTAACCAGTAAGTATGTGCACCTCTATCTGATTTGTAAGTCCCAATTAAGGGCAACCAAATCAAACGCACACAAAACGAAGTGCTTAGCTTCTCTTTTAAAATAGGCAAAACAGCAAATGTTCATCAAGTCCTGGAGGAAAAAAGGATATATAGAGTCCAGCCAATCTAACCACGCAACCCTCACGTTCCAGAACTACTTGCTCTGCTTTGAGAAGGACGTCTGTTCTAGGGCTTCTCCCAATTGGCACAACTGGAGTGTCCTGATCAAACCATACTTCAAAACTCAAGAACTAAGCATATATATAACTAACAAAGGGAAACCCTGTGAACACTGAAGTAGGCACTTGTTCATCATTACCTCGTTGCAGTCTCCATTGTCGTAGCAATCATAAGGCGCCGAGCTTGAAGTGAACAGGAAACAGCCTTCTCCATTCCATCTCAAAGCAGCTTCCCTGGTTAGAAGCCATAGAAGTTAACATAATAATGTTCTAGATAGGCTTATGGGAGATGGATAGAATTTCCAATTCCATCAGGGATTATTTCTTATCACCTCACATCGGCAGGATAATCAGCGGATCGAGAAGGTGGAGCACAGAAGATCACGTAAGGATATTGTTGACTCGATTGAGTATCTTTCAGAGAAGGATTGATCCCCAATTTGATCAGTTCCTCATGGTGATCCTCAGTCATCGTTTGTCCCACAATCTGACTACCTGGGTTTTCCTACATTCTCAATCACACCAACAAAAATGAAAATCCTAAGAATCCACGAAATTCACATCTCGATTGAGAAATGCGGGCAAGAAGGAAGAGAAATAAACATCGTATTCTTGCTTACCTCCCGCCATTTCTCGGCGACTAAGCGACCTAGTACTCCGGGGCCGACAATGAGCAGATCAGTCTCTCCGACGAGACCAGAGGAAGCAGTCGTCGTTGCTTCATCGTTCTTAGCACCTTACCAGTAATCGGAGGCGAATGAATTGACTTCAGCCAAAAATAAAGACTACCCATGTCTGCAAACTGAATTTAACGAAAAGGGGAAGAGGGGAGATTTGAAGGAGATACCAACGGCGGACGAGGCAGAGATATGAAGGGGAGGCGACGCCATGGAAATCGGTGTCGACGGCAGCGGAGAAAATCGCGACGGGAGCTTGAGAATTGAGTGGCGGTAGTGCGGCGAGCGGATCGGCAGCGGGGAAGGGAGGAAATGTGACAGCGAGCGACTACGGCAAGAAATGGTTGATTCCATATGGCGGAGGTATTAGGTGGGCATTAAAAGACGGATGAGGATGGGAAGAAGATGAAGAAGAAAGTAAAGTGGAATCGAGAGTGAGAAATCGAGATTGTGTGGGCGCGATCTTTTCCTTTTTGCCCCACTTTGGATCAGAGCGGGGAAGGGAGACGAAATTCGGCCAATTGATGAGCTACACGTGGCGAGGATGACTCCTTGTCGAGAGGATAATGACTGCCGCCGTGCCAGATTTTCACCGGCCGTCCACGTTATGCGGCGTCATTGCTGGTTGTTATTGTTTTTGTCTTCCATCTAACCAATTTATCTTATCTGAAAAACATATTAAAGGGTTGAGAAAATCAACCTCTTCGCGTCAGCATTCAAGACTTTTGCGTAATAGTCGGTTGTTAGTAGGATTATGCAACGATTTGGTATGTATTGCATCTCAACGAACTTAATTTATGTATGAATCGGACTATATCTAATAGAGTATAATGCATTACGGTTTTAGGTTTATTGAATTTTATAATTAGTAAAGAAAAATGAACTAGATTGATATTGGATCGTACCAAACCGAATCGAATGTAATGATAGTCTAGTACTTGATTCTAAGATGTTTTTCACTATTGGATTGCGGTTCTCGTGAGTTTTGTCGGGATGTTCGATATAGGGATGACAACAAATTTGGTTGTGCCGATTTTTCTATATACCATCCCCCAATCACGACTTAAAAACACAACCATTGTCGTAACCAAAACTATGCAGTGGTGGAATGTGACATATCCAAATCACCGTGTATGTGGTTTAGGGAAAACTCACTCTCACCATTCTCGAACAACTAGATATGAAGTTCTTGGCATAATCTGAAATGTTTCTTATAACACCAATGTTTAATTGAATTTTCTTTGTTGCAGTGTTTGTGAAACGAGGAGAAAATGAAAAAAATGCCTAAGAGATAATTAAATGTCTAAGGGATATAACTATAACACATATTCAAGCGGGTTCGGTGCATGTACTTAAAATATAAAAATCGGACAAACCCATTACCCTTCTTATCAGGGAAACTCAACTAAAAATATTCCCGACAAAATCAATTTGTATTTGATTAGGTTAACGACACGCTGATTAGGATACCAAATTGACGCACACATCAAAGACAACTCATATTCACTAGCCACGTAGATGTCACATCATAATTTACTTTAAAATATTTTAAACAAAATACACTTTCATAGCCACAAACTTTCACGTTTGTGACAGTTATAGTCACAAAATTCGAAATACGCAAAATAGCCAGAATTTTGATGGTTGTTTGACAAATCTAGTCATTTTCGTAACAAACTTTCAAAATACAAGAAGCAATCACGACCTTGTCATTGAATTTTTTTCTCGGGCCAATTGAGTGTGATGAATCAAGCTTCAATGAAACAAAAACAATCGCAACCACGACGGCTTTGAGGAATTGGAGAGAGAAATGCACTATAAGCCGCCACATCCTTCCTTCCCAACTCATTCGTCTCTGTCCCCACCGGAGACATTGTCTCCTCTTTCACCATCAATGCCTTCTTCTTAGCAGCCGTCATCGAGCTTCTTCCTATTAACCTTCTTGCCCTCTTTCTCGCCATGTTTCTGCGACTCTGTCAAGCTTATGAGGCCTTCTTCTTCATTCTAGCGATTGGGGATCTGAATCAACGATTTGTGAAATAAGACCTTCTTCTTCAGTCATATTGTTAAGTGACGCCGTTAAAGGGATGAGTGAAAGTGGTTATTTCGTGTATTTTGTAAGTCATGGTTATAACTATCACAAATGTGAAAGTTGTGACTATGGAAGTTTATTTTGCTTCTTATTGTTGTTAATCCACGTGAATTGGTGGGGACGAAATATCTCCAACTCTATATTCTCGTCAATTCAATCATATCGTTAAGTAACATCGTTAAAGGGATGAATGGAAATGATTAACCCACTGGTTATGTGGATTGGAGCGAGTGTGAAGCAGGCCCATTGGATCAGTGTGGAAGGCCTCTTTCTAATTTTAAACCCTCACAAGTCACAACAAAGTTGGGTGTTTGTAGTTCCCATAAACTTGAAAGCATAGAATTAAGGCCCAATTTTATTGCACCAAATAAATTACTCAACACTCAGAAGGCAGTTGGTAAGCAAAGAAAAAGGAAAGTGATGCTCCATCTCGATTAAGAGGATCTGATTTTCTTAATGATATCTTAACGCATCTGGAGCACTATAATGACAAGGTAATTAGCATTTCTTATTCACCGAAATAGAGTGCATTGAGAGGAAAATGTGTTTGGTAAGTGAGTAGTACAAGTCCCTTGATCACGACTGCTAGATTTTTAATATGTTAAGTTTTATTATGTAAGGAGTTAATTTACGTGAACAGTCAATAACAAAAGGTTGTCGGATCACTTCACTTTCATAAGTAACAGAAGGGTGGGTTACATTTACACCGGCCAATAGAATTACCGTTACGACCGTTTCCTCGTTTTTCCGTTTATATTGTACTAGAAAATTGGCCCGCGCTTTGCCGCGGTAATTGGTAGGCTATACTCTCAAATGATTTAAAATAAACTTTTGATTAGATTAGAACAATAATATAAGTATAGAAGGCGTGAGCAAGAGCGAGTGCGAAGGAAATGGAAGTTCAAGCAATCTAGATTGTAGCATGCAAGGTATGAATGTTGCTCACTGATAGAATTGCCTACTTAGAGAACAAAACTCAACTCAACTTGATCCCTTCATCCATCACTTAATTCAAGGCTTAGGTGTACCACCATCAGATTATTTATCAAAAGCTTAAAATCAATTATTAAAGCAGACAATGGTGATAACAAATTGCATCAGTTCAACATTTCCAATATGTACGTGAGGATCATTTCCTAATCTTAACAGCTACATAAAACCACCATGATAAGAACAAAGCCAATTAAGACTATCCGCAGCTACATTTCCAATATATACGGAACTGAATCCTATGAGAGGGAAGAGTATTTACTAATTGTATTAAAGCTATGATCATGAGGCTATCAATCTATGCCGAAGTTGTGTAATCTTGCCATTCTTGAACCTGTAAAACCAAAAGCCAGCCTAGCATACAACCGAAAAAACATCAAGAGGGCCTTTTCAAACAGACAAATGGAGTTAGACATAACAAAGGTAAAGTGGACCGAGAACCTCCCTTTTAAAGCACTACAATCTGATTGTGGTTACATTTGTACCCTGCTAGACAATTCCTTAACTTCACCTGCATATCTAATTAGGCTTGTATCAAGTTCATCTCTTGAACTCCTCCAAGATTCATTTTCTTCTTTGCTGCATTAGGGGATTCTACAGAACTCTGAGCAAATTCACTATGTAAAGCCCCTCTGTTATGCATTCCCGGCTACGCATATGTTGGGTTCTTCTTTTTCTTTTGTTTCCTTTCTTCTTCTCAAACTTACAATACAGTTTGTCTCGTGACCTTCAGAAGGGATTCAGGTCATTACCCGAGAAAGAGTTATATTTTCAAAGTACGACATATAACCCAAAATAAGGGCATAAGCTGAAGCTATATGGATCAAGCCAAGGATTCTGATTAAGCAATCTACTTCTGCCTTTGGTCACTTCAAAACTGCAATGAAGGCTCCGCAATTAAGCAACCACAACATACTCACTCTTAAATATATACTGAGTTACTAACACACACCTAGAATCAAAGGGCTTCAAAATAACATGAGTAGATCAGGGAAATGATACAACTGGAACTCCATATATTGTTCAATAGACCTAAAACCAAGAGACAAATTTGCTTAATAAATTGATTCCCAACCAACTAAAATGAAATCCACATCCAAATACCAAACTTCCCTTACCAACCATTACCAGATGGCGCAAGCTAACTATAACACAATGAGAAGCAATCTAGGGATCAAATAAAATACTCCAGCTAAGAGATAATATCGGTTATGATGCATTGAAATGAGAACAAACACAAATTGCTTTTAATACCCCACATGAACCAATGCAAGCAACTACTGGGGAATGAAGAACAAACAATAAAGAGATCTTACCTCCAAAGGGGGAATCTCCCTGAACAAATCCATCCCACAGCATCCATATCCAAAATATAATTTGGTCACCGAACTGAGGAAGAGAGACTGCAAGCAACATAGAAACGCATCAATCCAGTGAAGTACGAACGGGAGAGGGATCGACCGTCAATCAACACAATAGATGACAACTCACGGGAGCGGAATAGACAGTTGATTAACATACTACTGAATCCTTTAAGCAAAACTCGCCAACAAAACTCACTCACACAATCAGTGGAAACTTCCAGGAGAAAAGTTTCCATCCTTACATTTGGGCAAGGATCAATTAAGGATAATAATGATAAGAGTTGGTAAAATCAACACAAAGCTTCTAAATGAAGGAGAACACAGAGTTCTTCCGCGAGTTCTGTAATCTAATTTTCCTATCAAGTATTATCACATTAGATGTAAATATCTACACAATAAACCACCCATACGCGAATGACAGCAGCGCCATGATTTTAGTCATACCCATATCTAAATCCAAATATCCAATGCAGACAAATTTTGTGTCTTCTATGAAGCTGAACCAAGTACCAACTATGTATAGTACTTTGCGTTAACTTGTATCAAAGAAATGAAAGAGTAACATAGTGTATCTTCGAAAACTTGGACCAACTTGCGATAGTCCTATCCATTAAGTTATATATTTCAAAGAATTGAAGGACCAAAAGAGGATTGTCATACCAAGATTAACTGGATTCATCAATCGTGGCATTCCGGCATGAGTACTTTGTTATTCTTCCTTGTGAGCAGGTGTTTAAGTTTTATAAACTACATCTCTACTCTTGTGGCAAAGAGCACATTTTGCATCCAGAAAGCATGTTTGAGCTACCAAAATTCAATGTAAATATAGAATGTGCATTTTATTTACCTTAAACATGAAAATGATAGTACTATAGCACCAAATGTCACGATTATAAGATATAACTTACTCGTCATAACCTGTATGTTTCATCCAAAACTACATAAGCTAAAATACGATTTCATATTTACAGTTCCCATGAAACATTCATTACAATGGGTTTATGCTAAATCTGTTAAGCTCATGAACCGTCCATGAATCCAGGGTAAAACCCATCTCCTTACTGGAGAACGTCAATTCAAAGCCAAGCGTAAGTCTGAAGGACAAAACTGACGCAGGAAAAAACGGCTCTTACGATCAATGTAGGCTATAATTCTAGTGAAATAAGAAGGCGAAATAGTAATTTGGGATCAGGGAGGACGTACCGACTATGAGGGTGTAAGAGCTGGGTCAAGTTGAGGGGTTGTGTTTGCTTAACTGAGGAAGAGAGACTGCAAGCAACAGAGAAAATCATCAATCGAGTATCCACATGCCTCGATTTGTTGTTTGAGCTCAAGAATCGACAGTAGAGTAACATAGCAGAAGGAAACCCGGAGGCTTCAGCTGTTCTTCAAAGAAGACGGTGACAACTTCAATCCCCCTTCTCTTCCCTACTCGCCACCGACGGCCCAGGCTTCTCCAGCCGCCAGTCGGCAGTCGGTGACCCAACTTCGTCAAGCGCCAGTTGATTGACGGGGGAAGAGAAGAAATCGAGCAGAGAAGTTCGATTGGGAAGGGGCTGGGAAGAAAGAAGCTTGAAATAGATAGCACATCTTGATCTTGGGCAGCCGCCATGTAAGTCTCAAACGTGGGTAGTGTAGGATTTCTGGAAGGGGAAGGGAGATCCAGACTTGAGTAGCCGCCAGGCAATCATCGGAGGGAGACCGAGCCATTCACCATCGAATCAGATTATAAAACTTGGGCAGCCGCCAAGCCAATCGCCAGAGGGAGAATACGGGTTGGGTAATTGGAGAAAGCGGGTGCAGATTAGTCACGGTGTACCCGACCTTATTTTACTGAACCCCTTAAGTAAAACTGGCCAATTAATATATCTAATATTACACGTGAAGAGTTTGTTGAAATTGTGTATGTTCTTAAAGTGTATGATATTGGGGTTTAGGAAATGTTAAGTAGAATGATTCATATATAGCCAAGTACCCTATCGATATAACCATATATACAGTGTCCGCCAATAGGGTGTGCCGTGAGGCCCTCTGATACACCCCTCCTCCATAGGTCTGTTGGTTGATCCAATTCTATACTATAGACGAACTTGGGGTATGGTTTGATTGATTATGAGTATGATGATGGATTTGAATATTTTAATTAGCATTAGTGTTTATACTCATGTATATATACACGAGACATGTATAATTATTGTTAAGATACTATTTATGTTACGAAAATCCTATTATTGGTCTACATTACACAAAAAAATATTTAATGAATTAACTATGATGAAGATTGGAAATAATTTATTGTAAAATAAAAAATTGAAAATGTAATACATAAATAGATTTAAATTATTTTTAAATAACAACTCAAACCATTTTCATATAAAATAACTCAAAAAGTAGCGGTAAAATAGTGATATAAAATTTATAATAACATTTTCTACCCTATAACTCGAATTACTAACACAACACCAACTTATTCATAACATGATATCCTAACATGTCATAGCCTTCTCCTAGCCATTACTATTAGTGCTACAAATGCATTCCATTAAGCAAAAGAGAAAGTAGAAAGCATTAAGCATTAGAATATCTTTTGTTTACTCCCATGTTAGCCTGCTGTTTTTCTTAAACTAATTTTTTTGTCCACAAACAAAGACAATCCTTTTTCTGGTATGGTTTGTATTCTACTATCCTTCCTTATTTCTTCTTGCTTAGTGTACTATACTACTACTAAAATAGCACCCAAAAATAAAAAAGGAACAGCAAGCAGCAGGCAGGCAAGCAAGCAAAGCTTCTCTTTGACTGGTGGTGCCACCATTTTTGTTGGCTTTATTACTTCCAAAATCATTACCTCCTTCCTTCCCCCTTTTCCTTTTGTCCCCAAAAAAAGCCACACACACCACTTCCTAATTAAACTCATTCCCACTCTCTCTCATTCCATTCCCTCTTTACTCTTCTTCTCCTCCCCCTTTTCCCGCTGCTGTTATTTTCCCCTCCTCCTTCTAGGGTTTTGGCTGACTACCCACCAAAGGAAAACCAAAAAGAAAATGTGGGTCGCTCTCAGGTTTGGAATGTGAATTGAATGAAGCATGGGTTGCGTGTTCGGGAAAGAGCTGAGCGGCAAGCGGCCGTCCGGCGGTGGAGGAGCGGGAGAGTCTCGCCGGCACAATCGGCAGCAGCAGCAGCAGCAGCAGCAGCAACAAGTTGGTGCTGTGGAAAATGAGATCAGAAATGGAGTCGGAAAGGAGATTAGTAGCAGCAACAACAATACAGAGGAAGAAAGCTCCGCTGCTGCTAGTGTTAGTAAGCCGAAAGGCGAGAGGAGAAGGTCTTCCAAGCCCAATCCCCGACTGAGCAATCCGTCCAAGCATCTCCACGGCGAGCAAGTAGCCGCCGGTTGGCCGTCCTGGCTCTCCGCCGTGGCCGGGGAAGCCATCAATGGCTGGATTCCTCGCCGTGCTGACACTTTCGAGAAGCTTGATAAGGTAATAGGGGTTCTGGGGTTTGTTCAATTTGAGATCTTTTTGGCATTTGGACCGATTAGGAAAAGGAACTGAAGGGAATTTTTTTAATAATTTTCAAACTTGTTGTTTTGTTCTCTTCTTGTTGGTTGCTCTTGTTTGTTAGATTGGGCAAGGTACGTACAGCAATGTATACAAAGCTAGGGACACTTTGTCTGGAAAGATTGTGGCATTGAAGAAGGTTAGGTTCGACAATTTGGAACCAGAAAGCGTGAAATTCATGGCTAGGGAGATTGTGATCTTGCGAAGATTGAATCATCCCAATGTCGTCAAACTTGAAGGCCTAGTGACTTCAAGAATGTCGTGTAGTTTATACCTTGTGTTTGAGTACATGGAACATGATTTAGCAGGACTTGCAGCTAGCCCAACTATCAAGTTCTCAGAGTCCCAGGTTAGCAAATCTCTTGCGCTGTCTTGAATTGCTGTGAAATGGGAATTAAATGTTTTGGTGTTTACCTGATGCACATTGGTAACCATGGCAGGTCAAATGTTATATGCATCAACTGTTATCTGGCCTTGAACACTGTCATAACAGGAATGTGTTGCATCGTGATATCAAGGGGTCGAATCTTCTCATTGGCAATGATGGAATTCTTAGGATAGCCGATTTTGGGTTGGCTTCGTTCTTTGATCCAAATCACAAGCAGCCGATGACCAGTAGGGTGGTTACATTGTGGTACCGACCTCCTGAGCTTCTCCTTGGGGCAACTGACTATGGTGTGGGTGTTGATCTGTGGAGTGCTGGTTGCATTCTTGCCGAGTTATTGGCTGGAAAACCTATCATGCCTGGTCGGACAGAGGTAAGTAACTTGGGTGTCTTTTGTCTTCGTTTTAGTGTCTGAAAACCACAGTTAACAATGGCAGTATGCAATATTACAGGTGGAACAATTACATAAGATATTTAAACTGTGTGGCTCTCCTTCTGAAGACTACTGGAAAAAGTCGAAGCTGCCACATGCTACTATATTCAAACCTCAACAGGCATACAAGCGGTGCATAGCAGAGACCTTCAAAGACTTCCCTCCATCTTCTCTGCCATTAATCGAAACACTACTCGCAATTGATCCTGCTGAACGCCAACATGCTACTGCTGCATTACGTAGTGAAGTGAGTTGGGATATGTTTGTTTCTGTAGTAGTATGCATCTCTTGTTGTCTGTTTCCATATAGACTGCAATCTGCTCTGTTGAATCTGTTCAAGTTTATAATTGGATCACTTATCCTCCTGCCTCGACTATCACTTTTCATTGTTGAGTTGTTTAAATACTCCCTGGGTCTGAGCTCCTCCTTTTTACTTCTTGCTCGAGAAGCGGCTGTTTCATGTCTTTAGCATTGACCTTGCTGACTTTGTTTTGGTCGGAGAGATCATGTGACCTTAGGATTTGGACTTCATTTACCTGAATGCTTTGCTCATGTATCCTTCCAGGCTTGCTGTGTGGTTTCTTAACCATCACTGTTCACATGCCTAGCTAAGCTAGTCTATTAATCTGGGTGGTAGGGCATGCCAACAAATTGTTTTGAATCCTGGTCTGGGATGCAGTTTTAGGTCATTTATAGATTATGGACATGGGCCCAAGTATGCAATCCATAGCTGTACCACATTTGTACTGAGATTGTTTGCTTTCCGATGTATGTTCCTTGACTGGTGCTTCAAGAGTTCTCCTTAGTCGAAATACAGCATTATCATTCATACTTGGAATCTTCTAAGGTTATGGTCTACTGTCTTGTTGTTCGATTCATTTGCAGTTCTTCACTACCAAGCCATATGCCTGTGATCCTTCCAGTCTTCCAAAGTACCCTCCCACAAAGGAGATGGATGCTAAACTACGTGATGAAGAGGCTAGAAGGTGGGTCTCAACTCTCAAGCCCTCATTGTTTTGTTTCCCTCTTTCCCTAATCATTGCTCTACCATCACTCTGCTAACTTTAGCACTCAGCTTAGATAAAAGCTCATGAACCAAAATGGCAGACCTCCATGGCTCTCCTGCTTTACCTTTTATATTTATTTATGCTATTTTTGTTTTGTAGGTTGAGAGCTGGAAAGGCTAGTGCCGACGTTGTGAAGAGGTCATCACGTCCTCGTGATCGAGCTTCTATGAGAGCAATTCCTGCACCAGAAGCAAATGCCGAGCTTCAAGCCAATCTCGATGTATGTCAAATAAAGCCACCCACTCAGTCTCTCCATTTTAGTTCCAACCGTCTGATTATTTATGCTCATTTGTTCTGTACTTGCAGAGGCGGCGGATGATTACACATGCAAATGCAAAGAGCAAGAGCGAGAAGTTTCCACCTCCGCACCAAGATGGAACGCTGGGCTATACCCTGGGGTCTTCCCACCACATCGATACCTCGTACGACCCCCCTGAGGTTCCGTTCAGTTCCACGAACTTCTCGTACCCGAAAACCCACATCCAGACCTGGTCAGGCCCGTTGGTCGACGGTACTGGTGCTCCTAAGCGGAGGAAGCAGAAGGATCGAAACTCTGCTCGCGTTAAGGACAAAGAGATCATGTAATATATATATGGATACAGAAACTGGGTTCATTTGGGTGGATTGGTCTACTACAACAAAAAGCAGCAGCTGATAAGAACTGACAACTACTTGTTCAAGTTTCAGTTCAATGGCTTCCCCGGGAACAAAAAAAAGATTGTTGAAATTGCAGAGGAGAGGTATAAAAAAAAAGTATGTATCTTTTAACATTCTTTTCATTTCAAAAGCTTCCTTCCCCCTTCTTCATTTGCATTTGTAAGCTATTTTCCATTAATTTTTGTATTATGAAGATACTTCTAAGTATTGTATTATGTATATGCTGTTCTCTTGTTGTTCCATTATCAAGTTGTTTCCTCATTTTTGTTGAAACTGTGCATTTAGAATTTTAGATGGTCAGTGGAGAGGAAGATGATAATATGGCCATGTAATATGTATAGTCAATTGTTTACAGTGCTGGCTAATCGTCTGAGGGTCAGTGGTGTTGTACCTTGACAGTTTAGGGCATCTCTGGTTCCTTTTGGTTCTCGGCTTCTCGCTATGTTCATGTTTTATATAATCGATTCTCGCTGTGTTGCGTTCTAGGACTTTCAATTCCAATTGGTTTCGAATAGGGATTTAGATGACGAAATTCGCAGCCCCATTTTCCTACAATATTTCGTCGAATTATCATGTCTCCTTACGTTTTTATATAGCAAATGTTAGCTTCCTCTCCATTTTTGTGTTTCTTCTTTGAAAGGGATATACTCAAATGAGCTTAATTGTTCTGACTCTTGTTCTGAGCCCAAATATCCGACCAGAACACGTTGTTCAAACAATTAAGGTATCTGTCTCAAACGTGAATCCCTTTTCATTTCTAGTTTGAATGAAGAGTATGGATCTTATTTTGTGGTCTGGAATTCCAAGAGATTCATGTTCATCTTGAATCCAATGTAAAAAAAAGTGAATCTTAAGTTTGAATAAACCATTTTGGGGCCAGATCCAGTGGACCTGCATCAGTTGAGCCCAGACCGGTATATTCGTTTGGACTTTTAAGCGGGCCTAGCTGGCCTCTTAGCAAGGTAATATTTGTGGATCGAGACAGGTTGATTTGTATTTAATTTGTTTTTCACATCAAACTATTATTTCAATGAGATGTTAAAATATAATTTAAGAAAAGATCAAGAAGAGAAATACTAGTAAATCTTAGGGAAAATCAAAATAAAACAAGTAGAGAACAAAAAGACGAGAGAAAGTAGTACACGTGTCCGATCATATGTTACGCATAAGTAAGGATGTCAATCAAATCCATTATCACGAGTATCATATCGTCTGTGACCCAGTAATCGCGGGGATCTCCCATTGACTAGATAGTGGGCATGTATGAGTAAAATTCGCAAAAGATTTGATTGTGACGTGTCGGGTTTGGTTTTACTCTTTCCCGCCCCAAATCCATACGACCATACCGATACCTGTCTCACTAAGAATATTTTTTCATGTACGAAAAAATGGGTAAATTGCAAGTTTGGTCATTGGAATTAGTAAAATAAAGAGTTGATTATATCCATTTAGTGTTACAGTTAAATATCTACGTGTTAAAATTTTAGATATAGTAATGTAGGATATACAGGGCATATATTACCCACATATATTTGAAAACCGCTGGTATGGTGGATCGGGATGCAAAATCTCCTCCCACTGTCCCACATTGATATATGGCGTGTATGTGAATTTGAGTACATGAATATATGAACGAATATAATTTAGGAAAACTCGCTCCAATCCCTTCCCATTTTTATTCTTATGCATAAAAGACGTAATACTCGATTCAAACTTCAAATAGACAACATAAATTAAATCGTATCAAACTCGTCATTTCGACTCGTCGCAAACACCTAATCCTTCTCATAATCTTATCTCTCGATCGGCGGCTTCTCCTTGGATTTTGCATTGCCGTTGACCAACTCAAAGGTTTTGAACTTGCTTGTACACTTCACATTGGATGCTGTGGCTTCGAAGCAATGGATCCCAGTTGTGCACGTTACGGCATTGCTCAATGATACATTTTTAACTGTTCGTCGTCTTGTTATAGGTTAATTGTGTAACTATACATATAATTAAGCCCGCAAGCATTGACCCATCAATTCATTTACCAGTACTCTTTTTGGAATCTATTGGTTGATGATTGAATTTTGATAGCTAACAGAAGCATCCGATAAATTTGGTGTTTCCCAGCCAAATTCATTTGAAAGAGCTCACACATCAAGAAGCGAGGATTTGCGGTGCATTGCATCGCGTAAATCGTACGCATTAGAAACTAAAGATAGAGAGATTAAGAGGTTTTTTCTTCATTTATTGATAATAAACTGAAAGACGATGTACATATTTATAGTAGAATCGGAAAATTTCATCACTTACTAATCTTACAAAGACACGGTAACTTACTCCTAAAGAAACTACGTTAAACACTTTAATAATTAATACGGTTCATGAACAATAACACCGGCTCACAAAAGAATAATAATAGTGTTGTTGCTTTTCACGTACAAGTTGTACTTGTGTCATAACGTTAAAGTAGAAGTTTAGTTTGTAACATAACGTGAAAATGTGTAAGGTACAAACTGAACTTGTTTCGTAACGTTAAAGTAACACGTTCAGTCTTTATCATAAAGGAATTCATAGAAAAATGTAGAGGTACAAGTTCAGTTTGTACAATACAAGAATTTGTACCAAAATATATAAACACACCGAATTTGCATCATAACATTAAAGAGATATAAGTTCAATTTGTAACATTAGGGATATGCACAAAAATATATAAGTTCTTAAACTCGTACTTTCTCACCCATGCAATCCATATAGATCCACTTCCTGCCAGAATATCCAACAAATACCTAATTACGCAAGGTTTATTCCATACCCCGAAATTGGGGTCGGATACTATGCTAACTGTTTGAACCATCTAGCTCCGGATCGAACAATGATATTTGTTGGTGTGGGTTGACTCGTCGTCCGTTCGTCCGATCTCGTCGGGAGGGAGAGAACCTGTGAAAGAGCCGGGGTTGCCCCCCGGATCAAGCTCCGACGAGCAAGTCAGATGTCGGTTTCTGGAGAGAGTTGAGAGAAATAGATAGAGAGATAAAGTGTAGAGAGATAGTAAGAAGTGAAAAGTGAGGAGAGAGAGAGAAGTCCCTCTCTTTGGAGGGCTTCAAGCCCTTATATACCTGTAGCGGGTATCGAGCGTTGGGCATCGCCGATTATGCGCCCTCTGCTTAGTCTGTGCGCTCAGTCCCTTAGTAACACCCCCAACAATTGCCCCCCAAGCTGGTGGTGAGTTTTAACTCATCACTAGCTTATATTTTATTTTTTTTTAAATCTTTGTCGGTAATTTTGGGTGGGGCCTATGTACCCCAGTTGCCCCCCAGCTGGTGGCGCGTTTGAGTGACGCGGTGCCAGCTTCTTGCGTCTTGCCCCCCATTAGCGCCATTAACGCTTAGGATAGTAAAATATTTTAAAAATTTAATAATGATGGAGGGATAGAGTACTTAGCTTTATATTGGCAGTGGCGGCAGGAGTAGTTGAAAGGCGGGCGCTGCGCCGTTGAAACAGATCCTGAGTGGTAGCCTGCAGGTTGTTCTTTCGAACTGGGCGCGAATAGTGCTGGACTATTGCTAATTTTTGTTCTTTCGAACTAGGCGCGAATAGTGCTGGACTATTGCTAATTTTTTTTTTTTTTTTTTTTGTTCCGTGGAACTGGGCGCGAATAGTGCTGGACTATTGCTAATTTTTTGTTCCGTGGAACTGGGCGCGAATAGTGCTGGACTATTGCTAATTTTTGTTCTTTCGAACTAGGCGCGAATAGTGCTGGACTATTGCTAATTTTTTGTTCCGTGGAACTGGGCGCGAATAGTGCTGGACTATTGCTAATTTTTTGTTCCGTGGAACTGGGTGGGCGCGAATGTTAAAATTCAGACGCCACACCGTTGAAACACAAGGTACTTGTGGCCTGCTGGTAAAGATGCTTGTCTTGTGGAAGAGTGGCGCAGGTTCAAAGGCTGGCGGCGACGATAATTTTTTGTTGAAGAGTTCAGCGCCTGTTGGGCTGGGCATGTGAACGAAGCGGGCCGATCCGCATGGGATAGCGAGAGGGATGGGAGTGAGAGCCGAGACTGTGGGCGGACTTCGATTCATGAGTGCGGGCCGCGACTCGGGCTGGCGCGAACAAAAGGCTAAAATATACCTTCCGCGCTCATTTCACAACAATTGTCACGTAGTCCACTGGCTCCGTTTGCTTGCACGCGAATGGTTGGTCGGCGGTTCGACGCCTGTCTACCACCCATGGTTTTTTCGGGGTGCCTCGCGTGGCGCGAGCTGAAGGGTGGAGCGGGCCGCGAGTGGGCCGGGTGGCGCGAGCTGAAGGGTGGAGCGGGCCGCGAGTGGGTATTGAGGCAGAAGGTGGGCCGGGTGGCGCGAGCTGAAGGGCGGAGCGGGCCGCGAGTGGGCCGGGTGGCGCTAGCTGAAGGGTAGAGCGGGCCGCGAGTGGGCTGATCCGTTGATGAGGCGGTACGCGCGGAACATTATTAAGACAAGAGCGCTGCGCCTATGAATGACAAAGCGCGTATGTAGACTGTTGGTAATGTCGCTTGTCTGGCGTAGCAGTGGCGCGGGTTCGAGGCATCGCGCTCACTTTATTTTTGAAGCGGGGCGAGAGTCGCGAAACGCGAGTTGGGCCGGGCTGGTTTTTTGCGGGCTTGGATGTAGAAGAGTTTTAAATTGGCCCCGCGCCATTGAAACACAAGAATCCCTTGTAGCCTGCTGGTCAGAATGCTTGTGTAGTGTGGGGTGACGCGGGTTCGATGACTGCTGGCGACGATATTACTTTTTGAAGCGCGGCGAGAGTCGCGAGGCCCGTGTTGGGCCGGGCTGGTGAGTTGGGCTTGCGCGCGTCGAGTGTTGATGACGCGGGCCGGTCATGGCGGACTGGAGGTCAGGCGGAAGGTGGGCTTGTTCGCGTCGCGGAAGCTGAGCGGGATTGGTCTGAGAGGCGGCAAAGAAGATGATATAATGAGACATCCTTGCCTCTTAGTTCAATAGTTGCTGTGTGGTCCACTGGTTCCACTTGCCTACTCGCGAAGCTTCGAACAAGGGTTCGAATCCCTACACACGCGAATAATTTTTGGACTCGGGCTGGGAGTGGCTCGCGCGCCTGGTTGATGTGGGCCGCGGGTCCTTGGCGAAACGGGCCGGACGCGATGAGGATCTGCGGGCTGAGGGTGAAGCGCAGGGGCCACCGAGAAGCAAAAAGGGTTGCTCGCCGCGGCGGGCTGTAGCAAATTGTTTTTTTTTTTTTTTTTTTTTTTTTCATCCACTTTCCAGCCTGCCATCCACTTGCACACTCTTGCCTCGAGAAACACACCTCTGCCAGAGAGAGGAAAGAGTCTTCTCCTTTCCTTCTTTCTTGACTGTAGGGCCACAGATTATAGCAAAGCAGTCTGACTTTTGAGCAAGTGGGAGGAGGATGATGTGAAAGCTGATGGAGACTATCAGCTTCTACCTCCTATCGTCGGAGATTCGACGCCAAACCCATTCTCCGGCGAAGGAAATATTTTATTTAATTTTATTTTTTCTTGTTCTTCGGCTGCTGCTCTGGCGCTGCTCACAACTGTGGCGGACGAGGTCGACGAAATTTGAGCCATCATGCTAGGGAGAGGGGGGGGGGAAGGTGCCCTTGTAGACGACGCCGAAGCCGCCGCGGCCGACGACCATGGACTTGTTGAAGTTTTTGGTGGCGAGGTTGAGCTCGTGCTCGGTGAAGATCCTGGCGGTGTTGTTGTTGTTGTTGTTGAGTGAGGAGGAGGAGGAATTAGGGTTGGTTTTGAAGAGGAGCTGTTGGAGGAGAATGCCGCCGTTCTGCTTGAAGAACTCTCTCTTGTGCTTCATTTGCTTCCGCTTGTGGACGCCCATGAAGGTTAGGTAGATAAACATGAATGCAAACGACACGCTGGCGCTTACTCCGACGATGGGTTGAAAAGAAGAGCCACGATTGGGAATACAGCCGGAGCCGTCTTTCCGCCCGTCTCCGTTGTGGCCTTTGGGGCAGGAACAAGTGTAGCTCCCCTTGGTATTCTTGCAATAGTTTGTGCACTTGTTCATAGTTGGATCATCGCACTCGTTAATATCTTGGAGGGATTCATAGTTGAATCTTGTGTTTTTCCTTTTTGCTGATCCACCGGCACCTTGGAGGGATTTCACCGCTATCGTCGTCGCCAGCCATTCGTAGAGGAGGAGAGTTTCTTTTTCCTTCATTACCAGATCTTGAGATTTCTGCTTCTTTCCAGAACCTTTCTTTTCTTTTCTTTTTTCGATGAAGCTTATGTTCTCCTTTTAGATTTAGCGTTCCTCCTCCTTCCGTAATCGAACGAACGAATCCAAATCTGCCCCACGGTGGGCGCCAATTGTTTGAACCATCTAGCTCCGGATCGAACAATGATATTTGTTGGTGTGGGTTGACTCGTCGTCCGTTCGTCCGATCTCGTCGGGAGGGAGAGAACCTGTGAAAGAGCCGGGGTTGCCCCCCGGATCAAGCTCCGACGAGCAAGTCAGATGTCGGTTTCTGGAGAGAGTTGAGAGAAATAGATAGAGAGATAAAGTGTAGAGAGATAGTAAGAAGTGAAAAGTGAGGAGAGAGAGAGAAGTCCCTCTCTTTGGAGGGCTTCAAGCCCTTATATACCTGTAGCGGGTATCGAGCGTTGGGCATCGCCGATTATGCGCCCTCTGCTTAGTCTGTGCGCTCAGTCCCTTAGTAACACCCCCAACACTAACCCCTAAAGGGGTAGTGGTTTTTGACACCCTCCTCTTGATTGGTCACTTTTCCATTTAATCATTTGATAAGTTTTATTAATGAAAGTTGCTTTTTACTTTATTTATTGTAATCTTGTAAATTGGGAAAGCCTTAATTGTGATAATAATTATGAATGGGGAAGGAGAAAAACGTTGGAGGAGGAAAGTGCCTTTTCAACTCCTATATTTCTCATATTCCCTCCCGAAAAAATAGCAACCCATCCCTCTCCTCTACAGAAATCGATGGTGGCCGGAACCCATCGAGTTGCTTGCCGACTGTGGGATCGCCTTCGACTCTCAAGGCCTACGAGAGAGCCCAGCAGATGCTCAAGGACCTCGAATCCGAGAAGATGAACAGCAAGGCAGGGGGGATGTAGCTGAATGGAGCAGATTGTTCGATGCCTTTCTGGGCTCCTCTTCCATTTGGCAGCCCCAGCCTTGCAACAGCAAATCATCGCCTTCTTCTCATCGGAATGATTTCGGCGATGAAAATATCAACAGGGCCAATACCACAGTAACTAACTAACAACAACAACAACAACAAAAACATGAAGAAGAACACCTAGGGGGTTTCTCGTCGGCGGAGAACCCGTTGGAGATGAAGAAGAACGTGAAGAAGAACACCTGGGGGGTTTCTCGTCGGCAGAAAAAAACGCACCAATGGAGTGGTACGTGTACCAGTGGAGTGGTACGTGTACCAGTGGAGTGGTACGTGTAACCATATGTCCTGTTTAGGCTTAAAAAATTGTGAAGACTTTATGTTTATTCACATTCGAAGGATAATTTATTGCTTTTGGCATTGTTGTTGGCATTTCCCTAATTTTGCAACCCATTTTGGAACACAGTTTTTGGCTACTAATGGAAAGTTCCTATTTTTTCCCTATTATTGTTTATCATTGTTATGAAAAATATTATTGCACTGGTATTGTTCTCACTCTAACCTACCTTGTGGATTGCTCGCACTAGTGGAGTGGTACGTGTACCAGTGGAGTGGTACGTGTACCAGTGGAGTGGTACGTGTAATTAATGTACCAGTGAGAGAAATTAATTATGTAATTAATGGGGGTGATTTCGTTTTTCCCCAGATTCTTTCTCTTTTCCAATGTGGTGAGAGACCCCAAACTACAAGATTAAAAAAAAATAAAAAACCAGTTTAATTAATACTTGCCAATGATTGGAAATAAAATTGGCCAATCATAAAGGGGGTGTCAAAAATCACTACCCCTTTAGGGATAGTCACGCTAACTGAACCCCCCGAAATTGGTTATGCCAAGACATCTCTCAGTTTTCATAGCTCTAAATTTGGAGTGCCAGCCTCTAATCCATGAAAATAAATTTATCAACCTCTAATTTCCCGCGTTGAGTGAGTAAAAAAATAATTAAAACTATCCATAATCATGAGTTTGATTGTCATCTCGTTGCCCGCCTCATCGAACCATCAGATAAAAGCAGTGCTGTCAAAGCCGAACCGAGCCGGCCGGCCGGACCGCCAAAGCCGCCACCCGGCCATAAAACCGGCTCGGATCAGCTATTTAACCGCCACGGTTTTATACAGCGGCCGGTGAGCAGCCGAAGCGGTTAACCGCTCGAGCCGCTCAAGCCGGTCGCGCGGTTCGGCCATTTGGTTTACCCTTAAAAAAAAATAGAAAAGGAATCGTGGAATTGGGCAGCCAAACAATACCCTAACTTTCCTTTTATTTCTCCATCTTCGACCTAGAAGTAGAAGTGTAGAACAGACTACAGAGGGAGAGCGGCGCCACCCTGCCGCCGTCAACCATCGCCCCAGGCCCCCAGCGCTTCCGTCCCGCCGCCGCAAGCAACTCGCCGCCGCCAGTCGCCATCGTCGCTTCTGCTCCCCGCTCCCGGCGCAAGCAGCTCGCAATCGCCGCAAGCAGCGCCATCGCCAGTCGCCATCGTTGCTTCTGCTCCCCGCCGTTGTCGCAAGCAGCCCCCTGTAGCCCTTCTCCTGCCGCAACATCTCCCCCAACCACTGCCCTGCTCCAGCCATCTCACCTCCACAGTCTGCAACATCTCCCACCAGCCGACTCACCTCCTGCTCGAGGTAAGTTAATTTTGTTAAACCTAATTGATGCAAATTTCTGGTTGATTGTAATGTTAATTTGCATGATTAAGAAGTGTCTACTATTACAGATGCCTGTTTATTAGGTACCGGTTCTCAAACGGTCTAATGCCGGCTGGACCACTAATGACCGAGCCGTTCACGTTACCGGGTCATACTCCGGCTCGGCTTTGACAGCATTGGATAAAAGACAATTAAATCATCTTCTGCAAAGCATACCGTTTACCGATTTCACAGTTCACGCACTGACATTTTCTTATCCACAAAAAATCCCCTAATAAAGTGTACTAAATGGAAGCAGAACGTAGAAAACTGTGGGCCGGGGTTTGGCAATTGGCATGGCCACAGAATCTGGTGGACTTGTCAGGGCCATGATATTTTTGCATGGCCCAAAATCTGGGCTGGAGCTGACTCAGCTTGCCGCAACTCCCGCCACTAAGATCACAGCCACGTGTCCTGTACCCAGTACAATTATTGGATTTATTTCCCATTTCATCATTACCTTGCTGACCTGTCGTCGTTTGGGCCATGACTCATCCGATGGCCCACTTGCCTTCCTTATATTCCACCAATAATTAACTAAAATTATCCATTTTAATAAATAAAAAAGATAGTAATGCATTAATATCCCATTAGTTCGTTTATATAGTACACAGAGCACGGTAAAAAAAAAAAGTACAGGGAGCTCTTAAAAAAATAATATTCCACCACACTTATTTATTATTAAGCAATTGTTATTTATTTAAGGGCAGTCTTTAATTTATGGTGATTTGTTCAATGAATATGTAGCAGAAGAGTTTAATTTCCCTTTTTTTCATATCCATTTGATCGTTTGTCTATATTTCTTTCTTTTTGTATTTTTTTTTTACAGTTAACCACTGTGAGCAGAGCAGATATGGCACCATATGGATATGGAAGATATCAATGTGTTTATGCAGATTCATTGTATCCATGGGAGAACAGTCACCACTCACCACCCAAGCCAATAATCCTTATAGCAAGAAGATAATGATATTATTGTATTCACTCATTTCGTGGGAGAGTTCAACGCATTGCATGTTAATGTTGTTTGTTGAATTTTCGACGTGTTTTCAATCATTATATCAACGCAATAACATTTTTTCCCCCACAAATAACGTGCCGAGTGCTCGACCTTCAACTAAGAAAATTAAGATGATGATGATTAACTAGGCTGTGTGAAATGTCTCCCAAGAAATTACTGATTTTTATAACACGTTCCCCTTCGAGCTTCAAGTACGAAAAAAAGGAGAAATTAGTAATTAAGACGTTAATTTAACCGTAAAAAGACAGAAATATAATTGGTGCCAATTTGTCTTTTTTTTTTACATTTATGCGGTTCAAATTTGGCAGTCTGACAGGACGACACGTGGATACCATTTTTCCTTCGACTCTCAAAAAGGCTCTATATAACCTAATAACGCCCGGCGCCATTATCCGCCGTCGACACAAATATTTCTCCGCCGCTCTCTCACACTCCCTCTCTCTCTCTTCTCTTGTTAATCCAATTATCCAATTCCCGTAATTAATTTACAAATTATCCAATCAATTTCCGCTCTTTTCTCCGATTCTCCTTCGCCATTAGATTCGATCCTAAATCTTACACCCTCCTAACCCTCCGGCCAAATTTCGCCTCCTTTTATAGCTTTGCCCGATCGCTGGATTTGCGACATCCCCAGTTGAACTTTTTTCCACCCGATTCCCATTTCTTTCTTCTGGGTTTCTGAAAGTTTCGTTTTTTCTTTCGCGGGTTTACATTTTTTGAAAGCTTCGGATCCGGGCAAAAATGGAGCTCTCGGTGATCGGCACTTCTCAGGGGACGTTCTGCGGCGGCGGGGAGTTGGTGAGGGAGCTGAGATTTTGCGTCCCCAAAAGAAACGGAGACGCTATCAACTTCTTCGATCGAAATTCCCGCCGGAGATGCAGGAATTCTCGCCTGCAGCTTACCCTCACCGCCTCCGGCCAATCCGAACCCGTCCGGTCCGATAGCTTTCCGGTTCATGAGCCCGCCAAAAGACCCAATTCCGTAAGAAACAAAACTCAGAATTTTCTTTCTGATTTCTGAATGGATGGTTTTGATCTTCATGGATCATGCACGGAAGGTGTTTGATGATTTGCAGCAATGGGTTTTGATTCGTTTTTGTTCTGGTGTTGTTTTTGTGTTGTCTGCAGATTGATAGAGTAAGGTTATTTGTTGGGTTGCCGTTGGATGTGGTCTCTGATTGCCACAGTGTAAACCATGCGAGAGCCATAACAGCAGGTCTCAAAGCTCTGAATTTGTTAGGGGTAGAAGGTGTGGAGCTTCCGGTGTGGTGGGGGCTGGTGGAGAAGGAAGGAATGGGGGAATATGAATGGTCAGGGTACCTTGCCGTTGCAGAAATGGTACAAAATGCAGGGTTGAAGCTTCACGTCTCGCTCTGTTTCCATGGAGATAGACAGCATAAGGTCTCGCTTCCACGATGGGTTTCGAAGATCGGTGGATCGAATCCCAGCATCTTTTATACTGATCGATCAGGGAAAGCCTATGAGGATTGCTTGTCGTTGGCAGTGGATGATCTTCCTGTTCTTCATGGCAAGACTCCTCTCCAAGTTTACAAGGGGTTCTGCGAGAGCTTCAGGTCTTCATTTGCCCACTTCTTGGGTTCCACTATCACGGTAAATGAGATTTCCTGATTCCTTTGATGAATATATGATGCTGCTTGGATTGCCTGGATCAGTTAGGGTTTATTTTGGGAACTAACTAGAGTCAATGGATTTCGACAATTCATGGATGTGTAATTTACAACGTGTGTTTTGTCTAAATATAGTTAGCATTGAAGGTGATAATATTGTATGGTGTTTTGTCCTGAAAATCTTAGGATGAGTCCTGTAGTTTCTAAAATACTCTCTGGATTCTGGAAATACATCCTATCTTATGAATCATATGCAGTAGAGACAATAACGTTATCTGTCTAACTATCTTATGAATCATATGCAGTAGAGACAAAATCTTTTACTCATGGTGATATTTGAATCATTTCCAGGGAGTAACAATCGGGCTGGGACCAGATGGCGAGCTTCGATATCCATCTCACCACCAACATTCCAACAACAGCATCCCTGGAGTTGGAGAGTTCCAATGCTACGACGAAAACATGATGAACCACCTAAAGCAACATGCAGCATCCCTCGGCAATCCCTTATGGGGTCTGGCAGGCCCGCACGATGCTCCGACTTACAACCAGTCCCCTGACTCCAACCCTTTCTTCAACGAACACTCCGGATCATGGAAGACCCCCTACGGCGAATTCTTCCTCTCGTGGTACTCCAGCCAGCTGCTCTCCCACGGTGATCACCTCCTCTCCATGGCCTCCGACGTCTTCACAAACACCGGGGTGGCAACTCACGGTAGAGTCCCTTTGATGCACTCCTGGTTCAAAACCCGGTCACGTGCACTCGAGAACACCGCCGGGTTCTACAGCACGGATGGGAAAGACGCATACGAAGCATTCGCTCAGATGTTTGCTCGAAACTCCAGCGGAATGATCGTTCCCGGAATGGACTTATCGGACGATCAGCAGCCCGAGCAGACGATGTCTAGCCCCGAGATGTTGTTGAAGCAGATTCGTGCAGCGTGCAAGAGGCATGGAGTTGGGGTCTCCGGAATGAACTCTAGGCTTGGTTCGAATGGGTTGGACAGGATAAGGAAGAATGTAACTGGGGATGAGAATAACGTGGTGGATCTGTTTACTTATCAGAGGATGGGAGCGGAGTTCTTCTCGCCGGAGCATTTCTCGTCTTTCACCCAGTTTACTCGGGGGCTGAACCAGCATTTCGCCGAGCTGCATTCGGATGACCTTCTGGCGGAAGAAACTGTTCCAGTGGTGGCGGAAGAATCTGTTCCGGTGGAGGCTTCTTCATCGCCGAGTGCCGAGATGCAAACGGCCTAAGGGTGGAAGAGACTGAGAGCTGTTGCATGTTAAACTGTATAAATATATATATGTCTGGGTGAGGCTGCAAGTTTGGACGCTGTGCACCCTTCTGATTATTACTTGTAATCAAATGCAACAACAAATGTATGTGTTTGAGAGCCACGGAATTGAGCAATACCTCGAGCTGTTTGAATTAAGCTTTGGAATGATTCAAGTTCAACTTCGCATTGGTGTACTGTAATCTCTGTATCGGTCAAAATGTCGAAGTGAATCCATAAGTAATCGTTGATAACTGGGAGTAATCGGCCTCCTCGGAGTATTGTTGAAAGCGTAGAAAGAAGTTTTTCAACTCCTTCGCGTTCCTTGATCTGTCGATTCCAAGCATAGTGCAATGACGAATATGCTAGCCGTAGCTCTGTCGACGAGGCCTCTAACTCAAGCAAATGCCACTTTCGAGTTCGATAGACAGACAAGTGAGAAGACTGGCTTAGTCAGTATCAGTCCTTAAGAAAAACCACATTCTTGAGTGAAAGATATGCTAACACTATTACGTAAACAAGGTTTGATCACCATTTTCAATCGTACTTAACTATCGAATTGAGCCTCTGCAATCGTAATTTGGTATCAACACGTTACGAACTAGAATGAACAACTCGAAACTAGAATGAACACCTTGAGGCGATGACATTGCTAGTCATTTTGCTCCAAATATCTCCATCGCTTCCCTCCATGGCGTCGAAGCCGCCAATGGTATTCGGCAAAGGCAAATCATCTTATGCCCACCCATTACTACAATCGACTAGTTATTCTCCTCTGTATTGCAGTTCACTCGGAGTAAGTTACAGAATGGAAAAGAGCAACAGCTAACACAAATGTTAAGAAGAGGTACTGAAAGGTCGGGAAACTCTAATGTACACACTACACAGGCAGACCACCAAACTATACATAATAACGCTATTTTTTTTTTATTACAGTTCCAAATAATCTAAACCCTGAAGAACTTCCGTTTTGAAACAGTGAGTTGAGGTGAAGATTCAAATATCCGAAGCTTGTACAGAGACAGTGCCATTTCTATGCCCTGCTAGATTGTTTGCTCCCTCTGAGCTAATAGCTTGCATCGTTGCACCAGATTGACAACCTTTCGCCTCCCAACTGCATAAAAGGAAAGTTAAAACACATTAAATTTTTTGATTCAGAATGACTGTTAACAACACATTATACAAAAATTTAAGAAACTAATGACCCCATGGGATGATTATCAGTTCTAAGTTTCTTTGTTCGGTCTGTACTAATCCAGAATCTGCATAAATCAGGAGGTTGTCAGTTGAAACATACCTCGAACAGTCACGCGGATGCGTGATTCTTTTACTCGCAAGCTATCTTGGTGTCGAAGCTACTGAGACAAATCGCAAAAGCTTGGAACGCAGATATCGGATACCGGTAATCCATGGTGAACAAATCCTTCCCCACTTTCCCAAACTGCAGAATGATCTTCTCATGTTCCGGTCCAGCCACTCCATTTTCTGGTGAAGCAACAAGCTGGAAGTTTTTCACTGATGCGACTGTCACTCGCCCGTGGAAGTTCAAGCACCAACATTGTAGATGTTCGTGCCACCTTGGTGACTTGTTCTTCAGTACTAAACCCGCTTTCTTCGGACCAGATGTGGGTTCCGATTCTCCTGTGAGATTTGATTTGGACCGGAGAAATGAGAAAGATGTGGAAGCATCAAGCTTTCGATGGCCAAATTCAGTTTGTGTTGGAGCTATGCCGCCTGGTTCAACTGAAGAAGCAGGTATCCCATCCATAACACAGTGCATTCTCCGTGGACCTCTGCATAAAATCATAGAACACAATTTCCGTTAAACAAAGTAAAAAACATGTATTTCTGCAACCGAAACTGAAGCCAAGCCAAAATATAACATTGGCTAACCAAAACCAAAACCAATATTCCGGTTTCTGTTAACCAAAATTACAACCAAGCTTCCTTCAAAGTGCTCATGACTTTTTTTTTAAATGAACAAAATGAGACAGACAATTCTCTAAACCATCAGAGATATTTAACATGAGGTTAGAATTCCTCAAGTCATGACAAGTTTCAGCAATAAGCCAAGTATATTCCAGTATTTCATTAGTAATTTAGTAGTAAATTTCATCAGCAGGTAAGGCCTTTCGGCTTCCATTAATTTGGTTGATCCCGCTTGTATTGTCCTTAACCAAAACTAAAAGTTCCCAAAATCAACAACTCAAGACAATACCAAAACCATAAACTCGGTTTGGGTTTAATCAAAATCCATGAAATTTGGTTTTGGTTTTGGCTTTAACCAAAAACCATTATCCTACTCTCCCCCAATCAAATGCCAAAATGATTGCAAATGCTTACCTGGAACCCAACATGTTCAATTCATATGAGATGTGAGCCACTGGATAATTGCCAGCAGGGACTCTCGGGGAAACTTGTTTCAGACTTATTGGTCTAGTGGAACGACTTCTCACCAGCTTGGCCCCAGCATGCGGTGGAAGGCCGTCCAAGACTGTGAATCTGGTCCCCAGAAAATTTGATCTGGTAGGAAAAGAAAAAAACCCAAGACAATTAACTTTATTAACACCCCAACAGAATAAACTACAAGACCAAAGAGCTTCCATTCGTGTGAATATCACACCTGAGTTTGCCAACATATGTAGTGCTAGCCTTCGACATATCATCAGCATCAAGAGAGATGATGTAATCCGTGCAGGTGGCTCGCCTGCTCTTGCGTGCAGCAAGTAGGAACTTCCCATCATCGGCTAGCGCTGTAAAAACCAAAACAAGAAACAAAAAATCACAACCCTATCCCTCTTAAAGGTTGCACCCATAAAGAAACCATAGCAATCTGCAGAGCAATTACAATTGATACATTTGGAAAGCCAGGCAACAAATTCTCACCACTGGTCAAACTGAGGTAAAGGTAATACGTCTGAGTGGTCCGGCATCTCTTTATAAAGCACTGAACGAGAATATCCCTTGGACCAGGCTGCAAAAACAAAAGACACAGAATGAGAAAAAGTGCAAGAAGAATCCCATTAGCAATACATTGATGAGGACATCAACACAATTGCAACTACAAGGCTTCAAGTCCATACACCAAGAGCTTTGGCCGTCATTTTATCTTATCCATCTACTTAGTCATAATGGATATGAGTCCAAGTGTCATAACTCTTTTTATCTAAAGAGTGCATACTTTTACAGTGTGACTCTATCTTAGGACGATTCAAAACACAGTCATCCCTCTCATCTAGAGTTGAAGATCGAATCAACATCATTATCACACCAAAACCCACATGGTGAGATGACATACCTAGCGACCCATTAGTTCATGCACGCCTTCGGGTCTACAAATATCTGCTATGATCATTGAATCGTAAAGCACAAGCTAGGAATCCAACAAACGGCTCACTGTGGACGAGCTCCAGTAGTGGAAACAAAACAGAGAAAGGAATAAAAGCTGGCCTGAAAGGGCGCCCCACTATTTTCTATAATTGGTGAGATCCAGCAGTTGCCAGTGGGAAGCTTTCACAATGATTGTAAAATTGTCGTGTTTTGGAAATCAAAAGTCCCATCGAAACCAAGAACACAGTAGATTTGGTACAACAGCGGAAACGTTTAGACGACTCCAATCCATGAAAATTTATCCGCAATAAGCTAAAGTTTAAACCAACAGACACGCCACATGGCTTAAAGCAGACAGACAAATATCACATCACTGTTTGCCCACAGAAAATCTCCCACCACCTCCCCGCCCCCGGCATCTATCTGTAGAGATAAGCCTCCACCGATTCCATGCTTATCCGAAACGAAACGGCAAATTGAAAAAAAAAAAACTGCAAACCAACTGACGTTTTTTTCTTCTTCCATGAAATCGAATCAAAATTTGGCACAGGCTTGACCTAGAAAACTTCTCTACGGAGATGGAAAATTCAGTGCTCATCGCAAGACTGAATTGAAAATCACAGATAGCAATTCAACTACTCGTAGGTCAAATCTACACCAGATCCTGTACACTTCCGCTGAAAATTACGCATCTAATCATAGACAGTTCCGCCGAATCGGCGCATCTGAAAAACCTAAACACTCCACCTCGCCGATGACTGAATCTAGTGCGATAGAGAGAGAAGCAGCGGGATCTAGCGAGTTGTTACCTGTTTGAGTGAAAGAGGGAAGGTGAGCTTGCCGGAGAGCTCAGGGACACGGACTATATCCTTCGTGATGTGCCTCCAACTCCGGCAAACGCCGGCGCAGGCGACGACGCTCTTCCGCGGCGGCCAGCTGGTCTCCGACGCCTCGATTCGCAGCAGCACTTCTCTCAACAGCTCCTGCGGCATGTTGGCCCAGCACGACGAGTCCATCCCGTGGTTCGGCGCTGCTGCCGCCGCCGCCGTTGCCGGCGTGGCGTCCTGGACTACGCGGTGGGAGCGCGACCGGCTGATTATACTCCTAATCGCTGACATTTTCTACGGCAGAGCAAGGGTTGGGGGAATAATAATCCCTCTCCGTTTTCTTAATCTAAAGCAAATGGGAAAGCGTAATCTGGATTCTAAATATACTTAGTAGTGCGATTAAAAGTGTAAATTAGGGATTTGTTAATTAATCCTTTTTGGGGTTTGATGGAATTGGAGAGATAGAGAGAGAAAAGGGAAGGAGGTGAGTGGGAAGGATTAGGAGGGCCGGAGTAGGTTGGGATTATATAACGAGGGAAATCTGGTGCTGACGCCGTTAAATGACGCCGTCTGGTGACGTGGGTCCTACTGCCAGCGCGCGTTTTCTGCGTACATCATTTTCTTTGGAGGTGAAAATTATGAAATGTAACGTTCTTTTGACCCTTAAAATAAAAAGCCCTATCCTCCTATTTTGGATTGAGCTCCCACAAGTGTTGAATGCAGGCTTGAAGGCTGAAGCTGCTCTGAATTTTTTGTTTTGTTAATTGTAGATACTAGAGAGGGTAAAGCCAACATACCTGAAAATTAAAATTTCATAAAAGAAGGCGTTCTTGGTATTTCGTGGCTCTAAAATAAATGTTAAGACAGAGTGTTTTGCACAATTGTGTGCATCCTTAATATTAAGTGCATAATGCACTTATTTAAGGGTAAATGCCTAAATGGCTTACCTAGTGAATAGGAAGTTTTTTGGGGTTTAGTTCGGGGTTTAGGGCTGCATTTGGTTTTGGAGGAGTATGTTGTTTGTTTTTGTTCAAAATACTACTCCATTTAGGTAAGATGTTTTGTCCTTGTAATTTTGTGGTAAAATATTCTCGTATAACCATTTTTAGGGATAGATAAACCTATATTAACTTTGTGTCTTTCACGTTGTTAATGTAATCTCCCGTCGCTCATTTAAAAATATAAGATTGTATTGCATCCATTTATTATTCACGACACAACTTTGATCGACACACTTCTTTGATAAATAAAATAAAGAACGAGAAACAAATAAATTTGACGAAGAACCCTAATATATAATACAAACTAAACATGAGACAATTGTGCCATACATGTGAAACAACCATGGACTAGCTAAGCTCGAAGCATCTTTTTTTTATTATTTATTTTTTCTGTATAAAAATGTCAAGAGACTGGTGTATTTTTCATTTTATTAATTTGGAATTTCAACCGCCTTTTATGAAAAGTGATGACTAAGATTTTCAGAAAAATAAAGAAAAGTGTGACTAGGTCAAGCAATAAGAAGAAATGATGATTTGGGGGAGGTATGATTGAGACTGGATTTGGATGGATAAATAATGGATTTTGCCAGACAATTAAAGTGGTCATGGATGTGTATAACAATATTGGAATTTAAACAAACGTTCGTTGATAATACGTAATAAAGTGAGTTATTAGATGTTGAAAGTTTTAACTTACTTTACTTGCGATTCACTTGTTTACAATAAATTTTAGCTCGATGTCAATGGATTGTATGAGATATTTTTACGAACTACACGTGATATACACAAATTCTAACACAACCCCATTTCTTAATGTAAATTCTTCTCGCATTTCTATAAAATTTATGGGTTACTTTCATTCATATCTTTTTATCTTTCATAAGCTGTATTTTTTGGATGATTCTATGTGATAAATCATATTTAATAGGAGTTTGTGCTCTTATATCGTTTGTTTGCTTCGCCCTAATAATATAGTTTCCTTGTTGTGACATGGAGAATTGAGGTATTCCAAAGAACGCATAACGTTTCGTTGGGAGCTGATTGAGCATATTTTGTTGATTCATTGTTGCATCAATACTTCAAATAGTGGTGTTCCGAATGGTTGACGTTGCTTTTGCTCCATCTCAGTGCTTTATCATCTCGATCGTGCAAAACGAACGAACAATATAATCATTTATCATCTTTGGTCGTGTATGGAGATAGATTTTGAATTTGTCTAACAAATATGATGACTTTCCTCTGTTTACGAAAAAAGTGTTGGCCACAATACGATGTGGGTAGGAGCATTTTTTTCAAATACATGGCATAGTTACCAAAAATATATAAAGACTCTCATAAGAGAAGTGAGAAAAAAATATGCACATGTGCATTTTATGATTATGGACATATGTTTGCAAACGAACGAACGATGCAATCCCTCTACACCGTCCTTGGTGTGTATGGAGACAGAATTTGCGATTCATCTATTTCACTACCTCGTAATTATTACAATCCATAGAGAGTCTTATATTATTTGAAAAGTGAACGAAAAAATAGACACGTGTACGATATATATTGTGACGATGAATGCATGTTTATGCACGAAGGGTTATAGGTATAATATGCCCTTGTACTATGACGCTTTATCAAACATGCCACTCTACTATTTTTTACATCAAACATGCCCATGTACTTTGTAAAAATGATCAAACATGCCCTTTTATTAAAATTTTCATCCAAAAACTGTTAATCAAATCCAAAATTTAGTTTGAGCGACACAAATGACTAAAATATCCCTAATAAATTCACTTTAGAATTTTTTTGGGTTCTTTTGTATAATCAAATCATTCAAATAATTTCACTCTGAAAAGACCTAGGGAAATAAAACAGGGGACAAAACTGACATTTTTCCTCCCATTTGCCGATGTCGGGTCGTCTAAATCTCGGTTCAACCACGATTGACGATTTTTTCAATGGAAATTTCAACAGAAGGGCATGTTTGATAATTTTTTCAAAGTACAGTGGCATATTTGATGTAATAAATAGTAGAGAGGCATTTTTGATAAAACGTCATAGTAGAAGGGCATATTATACCTATAAGTTCCATGCACGAACGGAGGATATTATCCCTCTACACTCTACGGGCTGCAGAGAATTTGAGTTCATTTGTTTCACCACCTCTTGTAGATAAAGTATAAGTGGTTTCTTCTCTTGTAACTTACTTAGGGTCTTGTGTTCTTCTAAGTTCGTATGGGGAAAGTTGGGCAATGCTCTTTGCCGTCGCCACCATGTGAGTTAGATAAAGATGGAAGTCCCCTCACCAACTTGCACTCCGATCGTGGGAGAGTCTAACACCGGACGGACGAAACTCTTTGAAACCTTTTCTTTTAGGGCCTTTTACTCTAGCTTTACACACACAAAAGAACACTACTACTACTACTACTCTATAAGTGAAGTATAGATATACACAAATCGAGTATTCACTTTGTGTTGAGTGTGATGGAAGTGGGGAAAGCAAGCAAAACCTTTTTCTTTCCCTCCAACAAGAAAAAAGTATGCAAAACATCCCTTTTTCATGTTTTCATTTCCCCCCTTCTTTGTCTGATGTTAATGGCTCGGCAGGGACGCGTGGCAGCGGTTTATTAGAGAAGTTATAAAATCGTATCAGAAGTTGTGTCGAAACAGTTAGCGATAAAGTATTTTGTGTCGAAATCGTGATTTAACCGTGATTCAACCATTTTCAAGCATTAAAAATTGCTTATCAATTTAGACTCCAATGACAGGTTTTTTCGATCGAATTATCGACACGATAGTGTTTCACAAATATTGCCTTATCAATGACCCCAATAAATGGAGGTTGGAAAAGTAGGGCAGACTCCATTAAAACAAGGGGAAATTTTTTGTTAGGGTTGGAAGAATGAACGACGACGGTCCCAACTAGCTTGAAAATTGGGGTCAAGTAATTGAATTCTTAATGGGTTGCCTGTTTGGTCAAAGTTGTCGAGTATAAACTATAAAGCCAGGATTTGCAATTTGGAAAAAAGGAAAAAGAAAAAAAAAATTTGCTTTGCAAAAAGAAAAGAGGAAAAAGAGGGACAGGGACGGCGAAAGAAAGGAAGGATATATCCGAAATTGCCCCAAAGTGGTGGGCCCAGCCAGTGAGCCCACAACCGCACGAGGCTTTTTTTTTTTGTTTTTACAGGTACAAGGCCCTGTGACAGCGGCATCAGAAGAATGACCGAAGGTAAACGGTTGATGGTTTAATCGACAGTAATTCTGTGCTTGTAACCATCAGTAATTTTGTGCTCGTACACATTTGTGTCATACCTTTTAAATTTAGACCCATCTCAAATGAAAAATATGATAACACTGGAAAACAATTAAGGTACTCAAAATTCAACCATTCACCTAACACACAGGAGCTAACGTGACCTCCAAATAATCAAAAGGGCTTTTGGTAATGATGGTACTAGAGAGTTGGGACACACAGGCTCCAGCTTAAAACTCCACCTGATGGTCGTTCGACGAACTCGTAGCATCTAATTTGCGAAATTCATCCACACCCAACGCCAAAATCAGACAACTATGAGAGTTACGAGTTGTGGTACGTCTTAAACTCCGTAATCAGATTTGAAGCGGTGTGGGGGACACATTCGTCCAAACAGAATGTAATTTATGGGTTTAGACACTACACCAACAACTGATTATTTGTCGTACGCATGATTCGACATCGTCAACAAGCCCCGGCGCCTAGCTAAGTTCATCAGCAATCTGATGGGAGTTGGAATAGAATTTCCTTCATTGGGAAGGAAAAGGGAGAAAGGGAAGAAGGAAAGAAAAAAAAAAAACGAATCATCTGTTACTTCATATACTCTGGGTGAAAGGATATTTCCTAAAGCTGTCAAAAACCTTATCTCCATATGTCCTAATCTTCCCCCATGTGGGGTTTTGTGTGTAATTTCTCTCTAAGGTCAGCATCGGCAATCACCCATGTGGCAGGACTCGATACGAGCAGTGGATGATATTGGGGACACATTTAATCATGTTCCCGCAAGTGCAGGGAGAAGAGAACCCATTGATCTAATCTATCTCTCTCTATCTACTGTGAGTTGGGAATTGTAGGTGGACAGTCTGTTCTGTAGTGGGAAGAAGTTCGACTTATAGAAGAAGATTCATCTGGTCGAAATTCTGGAATCCTGTGAACAGTTCAGAGTCTATATATATAAAAATGTACTTATTTGTGCGAAGAAACACATGGACACGATGGGGGGAAAACCCCCTTACCTATAAAATATATATTTGAGTGAGGAATCCCACAAAGCCACAAAATGCTCTCTTCCTACTTTCACTGTGTCCACTCGCGCACAAAAAAAAAAAAAAACAAAATGCTGGTTAGATATTTGTAGGTACGTGATGGTTGACTTGGGGCTTGGAGGTTGGGAGTGGGTAGCAGCTCGGTTCATAACTGGATCGAACGAAAGGAAGAAATTTGATTCGATCTGATTAGATTTGAAAGAGTTATGCATGCATATCTCAGGCAAGGTAACATTTGGTTACTTTGTCGAATGCGGTAGGCATAAGCACCGTGTTTACACATGCTGAATCGTCGATTTGAGATTGAAAAGGTGTGGTGCAACGCGGAGCTCATATTCGAATCATCCATGTTCGTTTTTCCTCGTAAGTGCACCACAACCATCCGATCCAAATCGAACGGTCGACGAGGTGTAAACAAAATGCTTATACCTACCCCACCCAGACAACCAAACCCGTTTGGAAACCAAAGAGCAAGCTTCTACATGTGGCAGGGAAAGCTACTGGTCACTAAAAGGCAATGAGAAGGGGTGTAGCAAGAAATCTGACAGTAAATAGCTAAAGGACGCGACGGCAGATAACAGACTGATTCTGGGAAGGAAAGACAAGTTTTACGATCCCGATAATATTAAATACAGCGCATTTCTATAGTAAAGGAAAGAACACTAACCTCGCCCTACAACCGCAGGCAGAGAGAGAGAGAGAGAGAGAGAGAGGTCCTGTACTCGAGCCGTCGCTATCGAACCCCGCTCAGCAACTTGTCTGCGTTCTCCATCAACCACTGCTTTTTCTGGTGGCGAGCTTTTTTTAGCCTGGCTGGTCCTGTGTCCTGTATTTGTCTCACAAAACAGTAATGGCTGGAAAGAAAAAAAAGCTTCTCCCTGCAGTTAAGTGACTCAGAACTTGAAACTTATTACTTAGATGACAAGCAAAACAAAAATTCGGTACGAAATCGAAAAGAGAGGTGGAGAGAGAGGGGCAACACTAGAAAGTAATAGCCGAATAGTAATAAATAGTACTGCTAGTTGTGGCGTTGGAGTCAGGGAACTGTAGCAATTCAAGTGCCTGAGATTTACATTTTGATTTTGCTGCTTCTAATTCGACTAAGGAGGTCAGAAAGGCCCGAGTGAAAATACAAAAGGCTAGAACTGACCACCATACTTTGTATTCACTATCAAAAGATTGAAAAAATTTGGGGTCCTAACCTCTCTATCGCCTTTTTTTTTCCCTTCTTCTTTCTGGTATTAAATACACCGCTGCACAGATAAAATTTCCCAGGAGGAGAGCCAGAGTCTTACAGGACATGAACGCTTCCATTTGGTTGCTGCTGCATCGTTCCGCCGATCGATTGCGCTACAAAAAACAAGAGATAACTTCAATTTTACACAGTTTCATATCCCCATCATGTTGAATGAGATGCAAACATGATCGTGCAGTCAACCTAATTGTCCACTGCTAGGTTTCAGTTGTATCGGGGATTGTAATGCAGTAGGATTACAATTAGATAGCAATTATATAACGCGAGTCACGCGACGACTGGAAGTTCTGATTACAGCAGTCATTCTACAGCAAAAGCTCCATTAGGTCGGTTATGGATGGAGCCAGATCATATTCGGGGTCATTTGGATGTAAGATTGGAAAGTGATTGATTGTGCAGATCAATGAAAGTATAAAAGGTTGTGGATTGTGATTCTTGTGGATTTCAAAAATTTATAGTATGTATGTGTGATTGTAGTAGTGGATTGTTATGAGTGAATTTCAAACCCATTTTATCAGAAGGACCACGGATTTGTCAAGGATTTTGTACTCAAATATTTGAGCCAAATCCTAAATCCAAAGAACCCCTTAGTCTAATCCGACAAGCAACTTGAAATACAACATGATTAGCGGCGTTACCTGAATTTCCACCATGGGAATAAGGAGGTGCAAGATATTTACTTCCAAGTTGCCCAGCGGGTGGCATCTGAGGAGGCCCAAGAAGATTACTAATGGGGAACTGACTTGACATATCTGTATCCTGAAGGCATCCTTCGAATTTGTCCAAGGATCCCCCTGAAATTTGCCCTAGAATGTGATCAGGTTTAAAAGCAGATTGCGCTCCCTGTCTCAAAACACAACAAAAATTCATTTCAGTCCAGTAGTTAACTGGTCTCAATTTCGTTGCAAGTGATTATGATCGTGATATCAAAGAACAGACCTCCTTGTTGCTGATTTCATCTGCATGTTCACCGGTCTGTGACGAAGTGTTTACTTGCATGCTTTTCTGTGATATATCTGGACTCATGTCACTGAGAACTCCTTGGTTTGATGAGACATGATACATATATGCTACTGCTGACCTCAGGCGATTACTCCTTTGTGAGTAGTAAATTTTGGTAGCAAGGGGAGCCGGAATATCTAATGTAGTTGTTGCCAAAAAGAAAATGGGAAGTCAATGACAGAAATAAAGCATAGATACTAGACCAATTTTCCACAAAGCTGGTAAACTGATATTCTTGAACAAACAGAAAATCACCTTTCTTCCACAAGCAACGATCATTATTTTGCCCATGACCCTTGGAGACAGGGACGTCCGGATTAGAAAGAATCTGGGCCACAGCTATTTTCTGTGGTTGGTAATCCTTACCTCTACAGCTTGTGACTTCTGAGAATCCTGAAGGTTTCTCTGGACCATCTGCTGGAGATGGAACCTGACTTGATAAGCTACAAGAAGACAAATATACTCATGTTGTGTCTCAAAAGTCAAAACCATAATGCAGTCTGAAGCAATTCATAGGTAGATCTTCAATGTCAAACGAGTATGAGAACATACAGTTTAGAGCGCTTTGTTGGAGGTGGCAATACACGCTGTGAGTTGGCTGCATTCTCAGGCACCACTCCTCTACCATCCATCATAGATGACACATCCACACATGCAGAATTTCCTGACCAGCATGGAAAAAAGAGAATCCAGCTGAAATTCAAACTTCAAGGTCACGGAAACACCAATTTCGAAATAGACGGGAAGGGCTTATAAGTTGTCCAGAAACCAATAATAACTGAACTACAGAAAAAGTTCAGATAATAACACTAAACCATAAAAGAAATGCAGCCTCGTGAATGAACAAAAAAAAATTAATTTTCATCGAATATTCACATTTGCTACACTATTCCCAAAACATACAACCAGCTTTTGCTTCATGTAAACAACGCATTGATGGACGTTTAGCTTCAGCGCTGGGCGTCAATATTGAACCACATAGATTGTGATAAAAGAATAAGATATTTATCCAAGATTCATTACTCATAGTGCAATATGAAACAGACGCCACTATATGAAGGTAAGCGCAAAACCGCTTTTGCAAAGAAAGATCTGAGTACTAAATTGCAGCAAGACAGGCCTGCGGCAACAAGAATGGAAACATGAAGGCTACCACAGCAGGGCACTTGCCTTAGTTTCAAAGTAGAACAAAGGAACAGAAGGTGACGGTCCCAACCCTTTGGTAGGTAGCATCATCAGCATGCAAACCAAGAACATAACATAATGAAAATAAATAATGTCAAATAAGAAAGAAGGACTTGTTACAACACCAAACAGGCAATCCTAAAAAAGAATACAACCTTATCTGATAAATAGCCACAGAAATAATTCAAGCGAAGGGCATAGTCTTGAACAAAGGGGAAAGGAAACATCTTACTTGTTGGATGGACGTACATGGAAGAAGACATCCCAGGTTTTCCGCCTAACCTTGGTTCTGATATAGTTACATTATCTACATTTATAGACACAGACCTGCCCTGCTCTGTAACTGGTGCCACTGGATCTGGGATAGGTTAAGAACTACAGAAAAACTTTTGATGTTATCCAGATAACAAAATACTCTACACCAAACAAGAAGTAATCGCGCATTAGCTCCATAATAGGAAAACGCTACCTGTAAAACAACAAGATCTCAGAAAAGACATAAGAGCCAAACTTAACTCAACTTCTAGTCTTCTACATTGGGACGCAATGTAGAAGGAAAGATTCTAAAGACCGAATAAGATGTACAAAGAGTAGCATAAAGGGAACTATTTACCAACCTATCTGTATACGAAAATAGCAGTAGCAGGTGACAATAGTCAAACAGGCATCCGAGTCGTCTATTCTATACTGCATAAAATATATTTTTTAAGGCCATAACAGAAGCAAGAACTACAAGGATACTAGAGTGTGCCATCAACTTTTTCCTCTCTTTCTTAGGAGCTTTCCTGTGCCCTTTACCGCCAGCATCTCTCGTTGTAATTTCTCCAACATATTTCAAGGATCTACACAGTTCTGGAAAAGTAAGGAACAAAAGTAAAAGAATCCAACTTAGTGCAGAATTAAGGATAATAGGATATTGATCAAGAAGAATAATCTACAGCTATAAAATAATAAAACAATCAATTTGGATATATTGTATATACAGAGACTCTACAGATATAATGCTAATGAAAGCTTATCCAGCAGCTACCCTTCTATTCGTTTTAAGTCTATAAAGCTTCATATCTCGTTTTTCTGTCAATTACCAAGCCAATTTAAAAGAACCGACTGCGCAAATTTAAGGGAAATGTTAGGGGCAAACAGCTTAACAAAAAACTACAAACGTCATTCACAAGAAACAAGTAAACAAACTTAACCAGATACACATTTGCACCTTGGTAGCGATAGCAATGTGAGACTAGGTAAATGAAAAGACTTGACTCCATGTTTTTTGCAAAACAGTGACATTCTTAAAGTGAAAACTATCCATACAAGATTGTTTAATTTGCTGGCATCAGAGTACAGCAGAGCAAAGACTTGGTCTTATTAACCACGATAACTTTCTCTGGAGAAAGGAAAACAGAGGAAACAGAAAACTCATAACCTGAATGAGCTGCATATTGACTTGCCTTCACTGGCTTCTTACAAGCATTGCAGCATACCTTGAAAAATATATTCCCCGTTAGACATATTATACTAGTCCCCCACCCCCACCCCATAGGCATTATACTAGCTTTTTTGTTATGAATGAAACACATTATACAAGTTGATGTTTAGTTATCTATACAACAAAGTGCAAAAGCCCAAGGTATAGATACTCATTTGAAAAACATTATTAATGTCAATTCTGATAGTTAAAACAGTGTGTTCTTTGTTATCAATGCAGTATAATTATCAAGGTTGAAGTGAAATACGAGTTTCAGATGTATAAATCCTTTGGAAGAGTCATTGTGTCGATCGAATGCCAAAAGGGAACAATTCCATTCAGAATGTCAAGGAGAAATAAGAAGTGAAAGCAATTAAGTTTGTGAACCATACCAGATGCAGAGGATCAGTCATTGGCTCCACACCAAAGACATGCATGTCTACGAGAAAAAGACACCACTTAGTGAAGCCTTAACAGCTAGGCCAGGCATAAATGAAAGTATTACCCCATTGTCTAACCCAGAAATAGAAGTATTACCAGATTAACATACGGGATACATTCATTGCTCTATAAATCTCAACAAAACAGTTACTACACTAACACTAAAGCTTGTATACCAACATGGGCAATGCTAAATTGACAACCTAACTCATTATCTTCAAAAATAAGTAATAACCTATAGACATGATATCTTACCTTCCTCATCAAGCAAGTTTGGTTCATCAGCCTCATGTAACTCCCTGTACATGCATTTTGCAGCTGATTGTCGACGGCCAATTTCCACTGCCAAATAATAAGAAATTGGATCATCTTAATAAGCTGAAATGCATCAGAGTGAAATCCCAAACCACAATAACAATTTGAAACCTTGTTGGTAATACTCAAATTCACTTTTCATTTTGCTAAGAGTTCCATTCACATCATCATTGCTTCAATTCTACTCCAAAGTGTAACAAACGAAGATATCCCATCCCACCCTTTGACTCCCTTTTCCCCATCTCACACTCATTTCACCTGCTAGATTCTGCGATGACACACTTCCAGCAGCTAGAATCCTGGCCATGACAGCCATCCTCCCATTTCCCAGTGAACACACCATTAATGTTGAAACTATCTCTGCATCTGTAGTCTATACACTGCAAATAAACAACTACCGTCACTTACCATCACGAAAACAAGAGAACCAAAATTGAAAAATTCAGCTGGCTTTCCTTCGTCCAATCCACATTGCAAACATAACGTTTCAGATTAAGAGCTCATTCTTGAAGCACTCAACATTCTAGACAGCCAAGACCAACAGCAGCGGGGATCAAATTGATACTTGAACAAAACGCGAAACTAAGGAGATCACACATTCCGATTTTTCAGTAGCAACGCCAGAAAAAAACCTAAACGTCGCATTCACAATCCTAACCACGACAAACACGAATGCAGCACATGCCACGTGAATCATTTCCAAAATCCAACGAAATTCCAGCCGAAGCCGCAAACAACTCACCGCGAATCTACACAAACAGCGAGTACCTCGGGCAACTCGCCGACGAAACAGCCGCCGACGGGAGATTAAATCAAGTGCCGACGGAAACCTACGATCTAAACGCAATGCAGTTAGAAGCAGTACCTCCGACGGGATGGTAAGCACGGGAAGCAAACCCTAGCAAGATTAGAGTAACGATTACGAATTCACTCGGAGTGAATTTCCGAGACGAAGAAACAGAAAAAAGGATTTCCGACTTGCAGCTTTTCACCTTGTTCGTTTCTTCACCTTCCTTCCTCTTGCTCTTCTGCTTCTCCGTCCTCTACGAGGAGGAGGGAGAAGGAGAAGGTGCGGCCAGAAATCTGATCCAGAAGCTAAAAATGGAGCGGGAAGCTCGCTCCGCCTATCTTCCGAATCGCTCGACTGCGTCGCGCTGGTAGTGGCCGCGACTGTGTGTAAATAAACTTTTTTCTTGGGAGTCGCTAAAGGTCGCCCTTAAAATTGCTAAAGGTCGCCCTAAAAAGAATAAAAGTTACACTTTTAACCCCCATAGCTTCTTTACCTTCCCTTCCTCAAACAAACATCACTTGGACTAAAAAAACACTCTCTAAGGAGAGAAAAATCTCTCATCGTCATTTTGAAGCCGATATCGTCGATAGGACGTCTGAATCATGAGTAGCGATTCCGACGAGGTAAGAACATGAACCAAAAAAAAAAAAAAACACAGAAAATGGGAACCGCGGGTGATTTGCGGTCCGACCATGGTCCAACCGCAAGTGACCTGCGGTTGGACCATGGCCGGACCGCAAATCACCTGCGGTTGAGCCATTGGTGGACCGCACTTGACCTGCGGTTGGACCATGGTCGGACCGCAAATCACCTGCGGTTCAGCCATGGTCCAACCGCAGGTCAATTGCGGTCCACCAATGGCTCAACCGCAGGTGATTTGCGGTCCGACCATGGTCAAACCGCAGGTCACTTGCGGTTGGCCATTTTTTGGTTTTTTTTTTTTTTTTTTCGTTGAATAATTTTTTATTTTTTATATGATTTATGATTGTTCCATGAAATAATTTGTTGGGTTTTGATTTATATAATTTATTAGATTTATTTGCATAATTATTTTTGGAATTGAAGGATTTAGCATTAGAAATTAAGATTAGATTTTTGGAATTGAAGGATTTAGCATTAGAAATTAAGATTAGATTTGGCCTTAAATTAAGATTAGATTTAATTTGGTGTTAATCTAGAAAATTAAGATTAGATTTTGCATTACAAATTAAGATTAATATAATTTATTAGATTTATTGGGTTTTGATTAGATTTTTGGAATTGAAGGATTTAGCATTAGAAATTAAGATTAGATTTGGCCTTAAATTAAGATTAGATTTAATTTGGTGTTAATCTAGAAAATTAAGATTAGATTTTGCATTACAAATTAAGATTAAATTTATTGCATAAATAATAGATTCGCATATGAAGTTATGATGATTATTAATTTTAATACTGATAACATTGCAGGATATTGGAAGTTACAATCCGGATGACCATGATTACACCTCGGATTTCATTGATGGCGTGAAATACACTACGGAGTTGCAAGCATATGAAGCAGCCATTGAGATTGCAAAGGGTTTTGGGTTTTATTTGGTGAGGGCATCGAACAAAAAAAATACGAATGAAGGTACTTGGCGACATTACTTACATTGCACTCATGGTAGGAAGAAGAAGTCGAAGGAACCTGATCCGAGTAAAGAAACGAGGCCTCTTACATCTACTGAAAAGTTGGGGTGCGAGTTTAAGATCAAGCTTGAGCGGTCAGGTGATGGATATTGGTTGATCCTAGGGGTGGCAAATACAAAGAATCCTGGTGCTAATTTGGGTTTCCACAATCATCAGTTGGAGCTATTTCCGGAGGGATCAAAGGGAAGGAATGTTTTGACTACAGAGGACAAGCAATACATCAGAGAGCTGAGATCAGCCGGTGTCCCACCAAGGAATATCCACAAGGCAGTGAATGACAGAAAAGGTGCAAATGGAACACACAACAGAAAGCAGATTTATAACGAGTGTCACAAGATAAGGAAAGAAGAGCTTGGTCAGATGACAGCCTTACAGTATACTTTCCACATGGCGCAGGAGAAGGGTTACTATGTGCAGTATATGGACGATCGTAACGTGCTTACACACTTGTTCCTAGCCCACCCCGAGTCAATATTGATGTTGCGAGCTTGGCACCATGTGATCGTGATAGATGCAACATACAAGACCAACAAGTATGATATGCCTTGGGTTGAGATTGTCGGCATGACACCAGTGGGATTGAACTTTGTCATTGCATCTGCAATAGTGTACGACGAGACGAAGGAGTCGTACCAGTGGCTTCTGACGCATTTGCAACATCTTCTTGGCCCCATTGTTCCAGATGTGTTTGTCAGTGACAAGGCAGGAGGATTGGTTGAGACCGTGGGGGTAATGTTTCCATCATCGACTCATATTTTATGTCTTTGGCATATGGATAGGAATGTGAGAGCAAAGTGTCTAACGGAGGTGCGAAGGACGACTCATTGTGGTATAGATGCAGCCAAACCGACAGTGGAGCAGATCATGGCGTCTTGGCAACGTGCTGTATATGCATTGACAGTGGAAGACATGGATACTGCCTTAGAGAATTTCAGACGTAGCTGGGGAGTACAGTACCGACGTCTTTGGGGGTATATGACAGCTGAGTGGTTACCAGTTAGACACATGTGGGCTAAATGTTATACCAATCAACTGCGGCATTTGGGTAACACAAGCTCTAATAGGGTTGAAGCTGCCCATTCCTCCTTCAAGAAGTGGCTTCAATCATCTACTGGCGCAGTCGACACGGTTAGTAATCTAATAAATCTTTATTGATACACACATAAGTTTTAGTAGTCTCCTAATTGTTCTTCATTGTTTGTAGGTATACAAGAAGAACGATGATTACATTGAGGCTCAACACCTTCAAATCAGGAAGCTGCTGGAGGATTCCCGACAAAAGAAGCTGCTCCGAGCGGATGGAAAACCATTTCGAGAGTTGAATACGAAAGTCACTCTAGAAGCTCTGAGGTTGATGTTGTTCGAGGTAGCAGTGGAAGGGGAACCTTGTACATGTACGTTTCTTCCTACCTATGGTCTCCCATGTAGATGTTCCATTCAGTTAGCACGACGTGAAAATCGGGATTTCGCCTTGTATGATGTGTTGCCATTCTGGACCGTTATCAACTATCGTGAACCTCCTACTCGGCCGGAGTGGGATGACCATAGTGATTACCACCGTGGTGTGTTCCAAGGTCTAGTACAGGAGGTTCTTGATAGAGGCGACGAGACCATTCGAGGTGCAATCGGCCTACTCCGGAGCCATCTTCATCCTGAAAATGATGGCATTGATGAACCGCATGGGGGACAGCCCCGCCCCGGTCGCCCAAGGACGTCCACCACTCGAAACCTGTCTCACTTCGAGCATGTGGAGAGGAGACGAGGGAGGAGAAGTTCAAGACTTCCGACTGCAACTCCGGACAATGATGGAAATACAGGTAGATTAACTTTTTCTTTTAGTTGTGTTCAATTGTCCTCAATATGGTGTACAACTAATCTATTTTTTTTAAATGAGATAGGTGGTGCCCCGAATGTGAATGCACAAACCAACTTCGAGGATGAGACGGAGCCGATCCATAATGATACAGGTTAGAAATTATATTCCTAATTTCGGGTAAACATATAGTGTAACTCTTTGTATTAATTTATCGTGTTATGCTCTTTGGCTAGATGGTGCACCGAATGGGAATGCACAAACCAACTTCGAGAATGGGACGGAGCCGGTGATCCATAATGATACAGGTTAGAAATTATATTCCTAATTTCGGGTAAACATATAGTGTAACTCTTTGTATTAATTTATCGTGTTATGCTCTTTGGCTAGATGGTGCCCCGTGGAGGGTTGCTCGGATTCCCAATACTAGTTGGAAGAATTACCCATGGCTACATTGTTTGGAATCCTACGTGCAACGACTAGTTCGTGGTTGGTTCAACCCTATTCCAGATGGACACTGTGGATTTCGAGCTATATCACAAGCAGCTACTGGGGACCAAAGGAATTGGCCACAAATGAGACGCGCTGTTCTAGAGGAGCTTGAATCCCGTCCTGAGCTTTATAGAGCCTACTATGATGGAATAGCAAATGGAATAGAAGATGGCATTCGACGTTGCAGGTGGGCATCAACAAGTGGCTGTGGACCTTTCAACTGGATGGATAATGCGGAACTCTTCGTCTTCGCCACCTTGCATTCATGGGCCATCGTTGTATACAGTCAAGGCGGTCGTTATACCGTGCTACCTGTGACGGCCCCACCAGGAGTAACAAGACCACGTGGGATCTTATCACTACATTTTACGGGGGATCATTGGGTGCGACTTGACTTTCGACATGGTCAAGTGCCCATGCCTCCAATTAACTACCTTTGGCCTATTTATCATGACCCTAGTGTCAATGGGTGGGATCAATTCTTCTTACATGAGCGTGCGCTTTATGATAGATTGAACCCACGGGGATGAATTGTATAACTCTCTATTGTATAACTCTCTATTTACGAATTGTATAACTCTCTATTGTTGAAACATTTAGTAATCTACCATGTTGATTAACTATTTTAGCAATGCATTGAATGTAACTAAAGTAAAAAAACACACAACCGTCTCAATTAAACTACAAACGATGACAAATAAAACACACAATAGTCATAGTTCAACTACAAACGATGACAAATAAAACACACAATAGTCATAGTTCAACTACAAACGATGACAAATAAAACACACAATAGTCTCAGTTCAACTACAAACGATGACAAATAAAAACACAATCGTCTACTGAGGCGGCTGCCCTACCAACTGGTCGTACAACTCGAAAACTCCAGCTGCCATATCATAGAGCTTACCACCGTCCTCCTCCCACTTACTCCGGTCCCTCGTCTGCAACAAGGGGCCTAAACGATCCACAATCTGCTCTCTCAACTGTAAATAGAAAACAATGTTAGAATAAATAACAAATGTCCTTTATATTTGGAAAAGCAAAAGAAAGTCATAACTAACCTGATGAACTAGTAGTGGTCGAGGCTGAGGCTCCTCATCAGTGGGGTGGGTGATCCGTGGGTGCGATCTAGTCAGAAACCAGTCAACGTACTCCTCCACGATCTCCGATGGCTGCTCGCACGGCCGAGAAGCAAAATCCAACTCTAGACGACGAGCTGCCACGTTATTCCACAACTGATTCACCCACGGATCCCAAAAGACTATGTAACTGCTGCCGGAAGCCGGACGGTACTGGTCATGTGGTACCGTCATAGCAGCGGGGATAATCTGTCGGTATCCAAACTGGCGCAGACAACGTGAAGGATCGTATCCCTCAGCAATGTCAGAAAAGCGAATG